GCCGGCAAATGTTTCCACATTTAAATTGCTTGTATGTGCTGCCATGACGCTTTGTGTTTGTTTAGTTGTATTATTTACAAATTCGACTTTATCTCAATGATTTATCGATTTAAGTAAATAAATATAAATCATAATTTTTATCGAGCCATTCTAAGAGTTTATCGCAATTTTTCAATGTTAATTAAATCATTTTTTATTTCATTAATCACATTGATAAAATCGAGAAAATCGTCGTACTAGTTTTTTTCACCTTTAAAACGCCCATTATCGTACATGTTTCCATGACACTAAGTGACCATTTAAATGCACCTTGACAAGTTGTGGCTTTATGGCGCTTTAGTCACGGGCTGAAGTTAGTTAACAGTTGTCAAATGTCATACAATCGTTAAAAATAAAGTGCCTTGTAAAATAATACTAAATAGTACAATTATTTTATTATCTAAATACAAAAATACAAACTAAATAAAAAATATTATGATTTCGCCGTAGTAGTGCAGTTTAACAGATTTAACTGATAAAACTGATAAATTTGCGTACATTGCCCATAAAACATTCTCTTCTCTTTTACTGCTTCTATATCGATTATTTTAAGGATTAATTTTTTATTTACACAGAAAATTTGAGATTTTAACGCCGGTAGATTCCCAAGTTAGAAATTTTAACGGGAATTCCAATAAATACAAATGTCACTTTTTGTACCTAAAACATTTCCCGTGTAAGAATTAAAAAATCAAAGGATAAAATATTTTCTTACTTCTAACATAATCATATTTTAAAGTTATTTTATTATTTGAAAGTATCAATAATTGTTAAGTTTAACTAAAATAATAACGGGCAATGTTAATGGTGAAAATTAAGTCAAAAATGTTTATTGGAATGGTAACTTTATTTTCGTACAAGTATACAAATATTTAATTTTAATCATTTTTTAGATAATATTAGTATTTGTCGTAGAAAAAGTATAGTATGCAACTCGTTTATAAACTTTTCTAGGCACTCATTTAATTAAGCACTCGCTTGGAAGCTCGCTCGTGCCCTAATTAAATTCGTGACAAAAATGTTCTATTATAAATAAATACACATTTCAATACACGAAATAAAGTTAAAATTGCTATTATGTAGGTACTACTAAATATCCTGGACCAACCGCCGTTCTCTAACCCCTTGGTCTTTGGTACGTTAATGACCCCATAAAATATTTACAATTATGTAAATTTAATATAATTTAGCAAATAAAAGTATTTGTATAAGTGTAAGATTGTATTATACCTATTATACATAGTTGTGGCACTCTTAAAACTTAATAATAAAGTTTTATTTTTATTATGGGGGGTCAGGAATTCAAATTTACCAATAATTTTTCGAAGCATTCTTTTTGCAATATCACATTTTTCCCGAACCGTGAACGCTATTTATAAAACCTTGTAGTTTGTAATTTAAGATGTTTTTTATGAAATTGTAAGTTTTTATATTGATATATAAAATCTATTTTAAAGTTATTTTTTTATATTTGCAGGTAATATCTATAGTGTCCCGAAAATTTTATTCTACCATGTGAGAACGTTATTTTTAGTATGAAAATATATATTTTTTAAATAAATAAAAAGCTCAATTTGTTAATAATAACAAAGTTATGAATATATTCGTATATTTATAAATTACCTAAACCTGCTAAGCTAAAAGGCCTTATCCAAAATTTTCAGTAATAAAGAAGAGAAGGTAATTTGTATTTTTTTAACAATTAAAACGATATTTTGTCTTTCATTACTTAATATTGTAAATACGGCATTTTAGCTTAGCAGGGCAGTGTAGTACCAAAATAATAATAAAAATGTCTTTGTTTTTATTACTTTTATAAGAAAATTTACTTTAGTATTTTAATAATTTTAAAAATATTCATTATATTTAACAGTGTTTGCTAAATTTTTATGAAGTTTAACACAAATATCCATTTTTTAACTAAATTAACATATTTTGACTAGTTTAATATACAAACAATTTTTAATAAGTTTTGACAACTTTTCTAAATTCATATAAAAAAATAGATTAATAATGGCAAAGAAAACCTGGTTTTCTTTGTTATAGAGTAAAATTAAGTGAAATTATTAGTAAATATATATTTTAATTTTAAATATTTTCTATTTATTTTAAGGATTTTTTTATTTATTTAAATATTATGGATTCCATTTATTACCTAATAAACAGTTTTTAAAATAAAATTTTTATGTTTTACTTACACAGGTCTTTATTACAACACATTGCTTTGTATTTTTTCTTGTAAATTTATGAATGTTTTAGTATTGCATTTTACGATAATATATTAATTAATGTAATGGATAAGTAAAGTATTTATTATGCTGGTGGTTTGTTTATATTTATTTGGTCGGATATTCCACGATTACGGAAATTTTTATCCTGACCGTCAGAAATTGTATTGTGAATCTGACTATCTTCGAATATCCTTATCTAATAAATATATACCTACCACATTTAATCCACCATAATAGATACTTCACTTATCAATTAAAAATTATTTAAATAACCACTATAGAATCTTTAACCCTATAGGGTTCTGATATATATCAGAAAATTTAGCTTGCCACATTTGTAAAACATGGTAATTTTTTAAAATTTAATTGATTTAAAATTATACGCTAAAGCGTTTTTTAGAGAACTCAAATATAAAAATGGTTGATTTTAACTTAATTTTTTTAAGGTTATGTTTGTGCAAAAATTATTTTGTACTTAAAAATGTCCAAACTTAAATGTAAATTATATTAGTTAATTCTGCACCAACAAATGTACTTACAGAATTGGATCCTTTGGCAAAACATGAAAATGCAACGATTTAGTTCTTGAATTTTATTTACAATTAAAAACACAATAATTCACCATGATCCCTTAGATAAAATACACACACTAATGTAACTAAACTGCGCACCACTCAATGTGTCGCGACAAAAAAGTTCGTTCTTTTTCAAAAAGACATAACTTTTTTGTTTCTTTAACGATTTTATTTTGGTCTGTGATGTCTGCTAGCCTCATCCTCTGGCAATTCATGCTATAGATATGAAGCTCACAGTTGGTCAAGTAAATTTCCTACAGGGTGATATGTTAAACGGTGAAAAATTTCAATAACCTTATCCAAGCCCCGTTTAAAAAAAAATATTTTTTTTTCGTTTTTACTTTGAAATAATGAAGTATTATGTGTTACCTTGAAACGTTTTTCAAATTTTTCGAAAAGAGTACATTTAAGACTTTTTTGTAGGCAATACATAAGTCTTTTTAGGAACAAGAGATGGTGAAAGATTGTTCCTTAAATAATTCTGAACAAGCGATATTGTTGCTTATAAGCAACAAACTTCCATTATTTTCAGAGGGCCTAAGCTAAGACCACTTTTTGAAAATGACATTTTTGTGAAAGTTTGCAAAAACTAAACCTAAACCGATATTTACGTTCGTAATATGTTTTCTTCATAATTTTGACCTCCTGATTGAGATTCAGTTGTTAATTAACAGCCGGGAATTGTTTTCGAATCTTGATTCTTAGTGATTTTGGTTTTATCTGCAACTTAAATTTGACAACTGAATCACAATCAGGAGGTCAAAATTATGAAGAAAACATATTACGAACGTAAATATCGGTTTAGGTTTAAATGTCTCAATAAAATCCGATTGCTGGTTTTTACTGTTTTTTTACTGTGGTTTGCATCTTTAGTACGTTATTATCATGTCGCTGAATGATCAAATCGAGGACCAAATGATGAAAATTAGTTCTTGAAAAACATTCAAAACGCATTATGAGGGATATTCTTGATTTTTTCAACAATACATTTTTATTTAACTTTATTATCAATTATGTAGGTACTTATCAATGATGTTATAACTACTGCGCAATGTAAATGTAAGTTATGTAACAAAATGCAGTAATTTCGCCCAAAAAATAAATACCCAAATAACATTTTCATCATAAATACGCAAGAAATACGACAGCAATCGGATTTTATTAAGACATTTAACAACTGGAAATTGTTTTCCAATTTTGATTCTTGATGATTTTGGTTTTATATAAAACTTAAATTTGACAACTGAATCCCAATCAGAAGGTCAAAATTATGAAGAAAACATATTACGAAAGTAAATATCGGTTCAGGTTTAGTTTTAGCAAATTTTCACCATTTTGAAAAAGTGGTCTTTGCAAAGCATGCTTAGGCGGCCTAAGTTAGGCCCCTCTGAAAATAATGGAAGTTTGTTGCTTGTCGCTTGTTCAAAATTATTCAATGAACAATCTTTTACCATCTTATTTTCTTGTTCTTAAAAAGACTGAGTGTATTGCCTACCAAAAAGCCTTAAATGTACTCTTTTAGAAAAAAAAATCATATTTTCGTTGCTAAGATTTCAATTCGAAAAATTTGAAAAACGTTTCAAGGTAACACATAATACTTCATTATTTTAAAGCAAAAACGAAAAAAAAAATATTTTTTTACAAACGGGGCTGGGATGAAGTTATTGACATTTTTCACCGTTTTACATATCACCCTGTAGGAAATTTACTTAAAGAACCGTGGGCTTAATATCTATAGCATGAATTGCCAGAGGATGGGGTCAGCAGACATCACAGACCAAAATAAAATCGTTCAATAAACAAAAAAGTTATGTCGTTTTGAAAAAGGACGAACTTTTTGGTCGCGACACATTGAGTGGTGCGCAGTTTATATAAGCATTTAAGCGTCGAGTTTCTTAATCAATGATATATGGAATAATCAATCGAAATCGAGTACTAACAAAGAGTTATAATCTGTATAATCTGTGCTTTCAATGTATTGTTGACAATTCTTAAATTCACGCAATGCTATCGAAGTCCACCAGATGGCGCGATACTTATAAACCTTACCCTATAAATAGTGGAAATGTTTTAATTTGATTGATTTAAACATGTTATGCAAATGGTGCGATAACTTTTAACCTTCCCGCGCTAAGCAAAAAAATGTTTGTTTCAGATGATCAAAAGTAAGGAAAGAAGGCAGTTATAATACGGCGTTTCTTAAAAAAAAATGACATAGCCATGGAAAACATAAAACTATCGACGGTCATAGTGCTGATATGCGCGGTGACGGCCCTCTGCTTCCCGAGCAAGCCGCTCAACGAACGCTCGCCCGAGCTGGCCTGGCAAGCCTGGCTGCTGGTCGAGGACCAGAACCAGAACGCCAGGCAGACCGAGGGCGACAACGCGCCGCGGCGCAGGATCACGCCCAAGAGCGTCTTCATAGCGCCCACCTTCAGCCCCGAGAAGCTGCCGCCCTGCGCCGAGGGCTACGCCAGCGACCCCATGGGCCGCTGCATGAAGATCTTCAAGGTCAGTGTTGCCACTTGTAACATATTTTTTTCTAAAAACAAAGCTTGAAAATTATATGTAACATAATCGATAATGGGGCTGTTCTGAGAGGTGATTTTTGGACTTTCTGTGAAACCTAATTTTTTTTATATTCTTGTTAATTAGGTCATAACTAAAATTTTAAGAGCAAAATAAAAAAATTTGACGCTTTAAATTGTTTTAATTGGCTGTTTATTAAAAATATTATGCACTCTTTCAATTATCCAATTAAAACTAGCGATTTAATTTAAATATTTAATATTTGCATAACTAAAAAAAGGTTTTTACAATTTTTTTTATATATTTTACTGTTTTGTTGCAATAAACGTTCAAACTTTTAATCTAACCTTTGACGTACCTATGTATACATTTATGTTCCCTTAATTAATATATCCTTAAAGGTTTCCATGAAACTTAGATCTATTAAAAATTTATTTGACGTTTGAATTGTCATTTTCAGTATACGTATTCTATAATTTTTGTTTAGTTTTTTAAAGTGTTTTTTATAAACAAAAATGAAAAATTGTAGTAAAAGTTACGAAGAAATTCATGAAATTTAACTAAGGACCGGTTTATTCATCTTTAGTAAAGTTTATCGGGCCGATAACTTTCATGTCTTGGCAATATCTAGTATCCAAAGAAATTATTCGTCAAATAAATCAAAAATGAATAAATCGGCCCTAAATAAAATGTGGCACCCTTAGAATTATTGTTTAATAAATGTATACTATACATTTAACCTTAAATTAAAACTTTAAACGTGTATTACAACAAAACAGGAAAAGATATAAAAAATGTATAGATCTTTTTTTAGGAAATAAACTAATCTTTAATCTGATTTAAAAAGTTATGATAAATTTAAATAAAATCGCAAGTTTTAATTGGAGAATTGAAAGTGTGCATACATATTTTTAATAAACATCCAATTAAATCAAAATTAACCGCCAAATTTTTTTTATTTTGCTCTTTAAATTTTAGTTATGACCCAATTAACAAGAATATAAAAAAAATTAGGTTTCACAGAAAGTCCAAAAATCACCTCTCAGAACAGCACCGTGTAGTGCTGTTTTTAGACTCCCGTAAGGTATTTATAGTTCTAAAGGTAACGGTAGAGGCAGCGGTAGCGCTAGCCCTAAACCAAACCATGATTTGGTCTAGGGCGCTAGCCAAGTTGAGCATTGAATATTATATGAAACAATTTATAGTTTTTAGAGGTAGCGGTAAGGGAAGTAGAGGCAAGAACGTAGCGGCAAGAGATGACCATCTTTCATCTTTTCTTACCTCAACCGCTACTCCAGCCAATAACACGGCAGTTTTTAGTTGGCAGCCTCGCCTTCTAAGTTTAGTGTTTATGCGAGGGGCCGCCATTACCGCTACCGCTACTTTCTGAACTATAAATCCAGCTTTATACTATTTATAACAAATTTTATAATTTTCTAAAAATTCGATTATATTTTCAACCCTGCTTCTTTCACTTTTTTATGATTAAATTATAATAACTATTGTAATATACAGGGTGTTATGTAATTAATGTTATATATTAAAATGGGTTGTTCCTTAGGGTCCATAAAGAAGCACCTGAAACTTTTTTTTTCTAAATTCCAAAGTCTAAAAATAATTTATTATAATAACCTTTATCCTACCAAAAAGTACGCCACTGATCGACTAGGAACTTTAGGTTAATCTGGTGGATTTATTATGTTATGGTTGGTAACAACAGTGTTTCCAAAATCTCTCAAAAAAGTTGACAAACATTGTTTAAATTTACCTTAATTACAAAAATGACAAAATTAACAATGCAAATTGTCAATTTGGCGTTTTTATTAATTGTTGGTTATGTCATTTTTGTACTGAAGGTAAATTCAAACAAAATCTGCCAACTTTTATGACAGAATCTAGTGCATTTCTTTTAAATTTTAGGTTATGTTTTCAAGTTGTAAATATCTTAACTAAGGGAAGTGCTTTTGGATTTATTTACACAAATTAAATGTTTAAAGTTTAACCTGTGAACTGGTCCCAATTTTATCTGAGTAAACAGAGAAAAAAACTGATGAAAAAATTAATTTTGTGGTTATGGATTTCAAATTTCAAAGGTACTAAATTTTCTAATCATTGCTTAAGCTAATAGCTGGATCAGTAAATAAATACAGAAGGGTATTAGAGCTTTAAGGGCATAACACTTTTGTATTTATTGAGTTTTTATTTATTTTTTGCAAGAAAAATTTTTAGTTACAATTTTTTACATCTGGCAACGCATAGCTACTTTGTTGGTTGGTATATATGTACTCACAAAATACAGGTGTACAGAGATAAACAAGTGTGTAACCAGTGGCGTATCACAAAAAATATAAATAACTTCTAATGCATATTTTTTCTTTATCTTTGGAAAAATGTTTTTTTAAATATTTTTCCTTTATTCCTTATGTCAAAAGGTATTCAGTATTTTAATATATAACATTAATTACATAACACCCTGTAATTATTACAATTATTGTAACATAATTTTCCGAAAATTCGATAATTTTATTAACCCAATTTGATAATTTCAACTTTTACATCTGTTCAAGGTCGACGAGGACGCGCACCTGGACTTTCTGCTGCAGAAAATCAAGGACCAGTTCGGGGACGAGAACGCGGCCGACTACGATTACGAGGACGAGGAGAACACGCCTGGACCCTTTCAGGTGAACATTCCTCTGGGCGAGGAAGACGACTCGAAGATCAGTGAGGAAGAAACGGATATGGCGATTGTGGTCGCTCCGACCAACATTAATTTCAACGAAGTAAGTTTCTAAACTGTAAATTTTTATTTAATAAACATTATTGTGACACTACATGTTTATATTTCCTCAATTGTTATCTCTACGAGCGGTTAAAATTCGGAAACGCGTAATATTTTTGTTGATGAAGGTTAGTTCAAATAAATTGTAAACAATTTTTTCTTATCAGAACGCATGGCTACAAAATTCAACACTCATTCAGTTTTAAAAGATTTAAAAATTTGAAAGTTTTGAAAATAAAATTTAAAAAAAAATCGAACATTTTGTGAATGTTGAACATTTTCAAAAATCTAAAAATTTTAAAAATTTTGAAAATTTGTCTTCCCATTTTTTAAATTAATGCTACTGTGCGAATTTGTCCTACTATTTTTTAAATATATGCCACTGTGCGAACATTTTTTAAATCTCCATGGCTACAAAATTTAACACTATTTCAGTTGTTAAAATCAGATTTAAAAATTTGGAGAATTTGAAAGTTTTGAAAATAAAGTTAAAAAAAATTCGAAAATTTTGTGAATTTTGATAATTTTCAAAAATCTGAAAATTTTGAAAATTTGTCTTCCCATTTTTTAAATTAATGCTACTATGCGAATTTGTCCTACTATTTTTTAAATATATGCCACTGTGCGAACATTTTTTAAATCTCCATGGCTACAAAATTTAACACTATTTCAGTTGTTAAAATCAGATTTAAAAATTTGGAGAATTTGAAAGTTTTGAAAATAAAATTTAAAAAAAATTCGAAAATTTTGTGAATTTTGATAATTTTCAAAAATCTGAAAATTTTTAAAATTTATCTTCCCATTTTTAAATTAATGCTACTGTGCGAATTTGTCCCACTATTTTTTAAATATATGCCAATGTGCGAAGATTTTTTTAATCTACATGGCTACAAAATTTAACTCATTCAGTTGTTAAAATCAGATTTAAAAATTTGGAGAATTTGAAAGTTTTGAAAATAAAATTTAAAAAAAAATCGAAAATTTTGTGAATGTTGAACATTTTCAAAAATCTGAAAATTTTTAAAATTTATCTTCCCATTTTTTAAATTAATGCTACCGTGCGAATTTGTCCTACTATTTTTTTTTTAAATATATGAAACTGTGCGAACATTTTTTAAATCTACATGGCTACAAAATTTAACACTAATTCAGTTGTTAAAATCAGGTTTAAAAATTTGGATAATTTGAAAGTTTTGAAAATAAAATAAAAAAAAATCGAAAATTTTTTGAATTTTGAAAATTTTAAAGTAATGTGACTGTGCAAATTTGTCCAACCCTTTTTTAAATTAGTGCCACCGTGCGAATTGTTTCTACCATTTTTTAAATTGTACCAAGGGCAGTTCTTAATTATCCAATTTTGTTCGAATTTGGGCAGTTTTTTACCTTTAGATAACGTTTTTCAAATTTAAAATTTTAATTAATGTGTCAAATGTGTCATTATATTTCATTAATTGATTTTCTAAAAGCCTGTAAAACTTTACAGGTCTTTTATACAAGCCCATAAAATATTACAGGTCTGTTTCCATAATGTATCGTTTACTTGGATACAAAAACAACAAAATTAACCAATAAAATGTCATATATCTATTTTGCGTTCATAATGACTTCATTATATCACTGCTTTCGGTGCTGTAATGAGATACTTTATCCCACCCAAAATTTTGATTTTATAGGTTGGCTATACTTTAAACAGCATAATATTTTGCATATTGATTATAATATTTGTATGATTTTTCTAGTACTTACGAGACTTTTCTGGCAATAAATTTTGTTTAACACCAAAGAAAATCCTTTTTCTCTTTTTTAACATTAACAACCGCTTATTGTAAATAAGTAAATTAAGGACGGCATGGCGAATCGATTATGACATTAACAGTCAAACCAATGACTGTGATACCAACTATCTAAAGTAAAATTCGATGAAATTAAATTTAAGGTATAAAATTAATGTTTTTTATACAATTTTTGCAAAATAGATAAAATAGCATAAAGAACTCATGTCATAAGACCTTTTGTTGCACTCGTCCACTACATAAATGACGTCTTATGACATTAGTTCTTTAATATACTATTACTAAGAAGATGAAAATAAAACTACTAAATAGGTATTTTTGTTTTTAGGCTGAGAAGTGAATTGTACAAAATTTGGCGTTTTTCGTAGTGGTTGTAGATAAACGTAATTACTGTAATAAAGAATACCCAGAAAACTAAGTATTATTGTATTTTTGTTGCAGGATTCCATTTTGAAATTTGAAAGCAAACGACAAAACAAAGTTGACAGTACCACCACTACAACGCAAAAAGCAACTGAAAAAATCGACAACGTCAACAAAAATCTCGACTTGACCACAAACAAAATCGATTCCTTTCCAATAATTGATGTTACATCGAAAATTGACGTCACGTCAAAAACAGATGTAACATCAAATTTGGAGGACGTTACATCCACTGCTACTATGGAAACGACCACAGAACTCTCATTAGAAGACAATCAGGAAACCACCACTGATTATGTAACGGAAGTTGTAACAACGGAGAGTGTTACAAGTAGCGAAGTGGACGGCGTTACGAGCACTGTAACGCCAGAAAACGCAACAATGACTGAAAGCACAGATGATTCAATTAACACTACTATTATTGTTAGTACGCCAAACGACGCTACAAGTGTAACAGAGGAAGTTACAACATCATCGCCGAAAATAGTCGATGATGTTACAACGAAAGGGTTCCGCATAAAATTTCCGGAGGATTTGCAGCTACCGGAAGCGTCAAATCGGTTTGTGAGGTTCCCTGACACACCAGCAAGTTTACCTTTACATCAAACAAGGGACTTATCGAGCCAGGTCAACACTTACTACCCCAGCCCTGTTCTGGTGCCCCCGCAACAGGACGCCCCTGCACACCAAGAACCCCGGGCGATCAGGGAGCACCCCAATCACAGGTCGAGGGATAGAAGTCTATTTCAGTTTCCCACCAAATGGGATGCGAACAGTAAACCGATCGTGTTCAGATTCTCCCGAAAAAATTCGTACGTTGACACCAGTCAGTTCAAGCAGCCCGATTTTTACCGAGCACTGCCCTCGTCCGACCTATCGTATATATTCGGGTTTAAAAACCGACGGCACCCGAGCCATAGGTGAAAAAATATAACTATTCGTAATGTAAATATAGTAGAATAGGAATGATCAGTCAGTACAATATTTTATTTAACTTTAAAGTATTTTAGGTTTTTAAGTTTTCTTTAAGTCCAAAAACCACAAAACATCACAGAAAATATAGTGCTAATAAAACGCACTGTATGTATAGGTACTAGACTGGGGCCAAAAAAATAAACTATTTTTTTTTGAAAAGTAAATCGAAAATATTGTTTGGTTTCTTTTAACTTTGGAATTTTGTAATTCATGTAAAAATCAGTACCCGGAAAAAAACCGATAGATATTCTTATGGGAAATCAAATGCTCTACAAAAAAATGCTCCTAACATTTTTGGCTAAATTAACTACATCAAAAGTTAATAATTTTTTCGCTTTAAGAAGCTATTTTCTTTGGAAAATATTATTTTTACTATTATCTATTTAATCGTTTAAATATTAACAATCATGTTGTTTTTTATAGGAAATTGTTAATTAGTTATATAATACACTTTTATAAGGAAAAAAATCAAATTATCATCCATAAAAAAATTAATCTGCAGAGGAAAAAACAAGAATTTCGTTTTGACTTCAACTTCAACCTTGAATAACTTTTGATTGAGTGAATTTAGCCAAAAATGTTAAGAGGCTTTTTTGTAAAGCATTTGATTTCCCATAAGAATATTCATCGTTTTTTTCTGGTTATTGGTTTTTACATGAATTACAAAATTCCAAAGTTAAAAGATCAAAATGTAAAACTATACCAATTTTTAAGGCATTTAATTTTCTTAAAAACTTATTTCTATGTCATCTTTGGTTTAGGACAAAAACTTGCTGAGGAAAAAAAATTTAAAATTGCGATGATTGAACTCTTAATATTAATATTGTGGACTCAAACTTTCACAATAATTTTTTTTTGTCACCCCAAACTACATTTTCGATATACTTTTCAAAAAAAATAGTTGATTTTTTTGGCCCAGTCTAATGTATACTCTTGTATTTATTTTTTTATGAATCCCCTGTATATTTGACCGTACTAGTTCACTATACTTAAAACTAAACCCTATTATCTTAAAAATTGTTTGCCCAGACTGTTGACCACTTATTAAATGTTCAATTACTTTTTTAGTTAAATATTATTATACAACTATTTAAATAATTGAATTTCTGTTATTATGAAATATGCTTTGGGCAAACAATTAAAGTTTAAAAACACCACATAATTTTCAGTATTAATATTAATTACATAGAATAATAACATAGTTTTGTTAATGATTATTTTAGCTGATTAGTTTTGTAAATATTATTTTAAATGTGTATAATTATAAAAATTATGTGATTAACTATTATTTTAAGTCAATATTTTCAATTAAAATTGTTCAACTTTGTTTTAAAATTTTTTATGTTCATTCAAACTACTTGATCAACTTAGTTTGTAATGGGTAAAATTAATAAAATTATGTACAAATTTGTGTATAGTCAATAATCTACCATTTATAGAATTTAGTCAACATTTTTTTTTAGAAAAATTCTAATTTAGTTTAAATATTTATTGTATTATTATATTTTTGTTATGTATTTGTGCCAGTAATAAATATTGTTTAACATTTAGTCTTTGTTTCATTGAAACACCTTTAAAATATAATAATTTATTAAAAAATTATACAATATAATCATCATTACAATAATAAACAAGCACAGTTATATATAATAAGTAGAATCTTTAAACCTAAAAATATAATGAAATATTTTATACATAACAGGGTTTTATAATAACAAATTTCAGGAAAGCTTAAATGTCTATGATACCCTGAATTTAGTCAAAAACCTAATCACATTTTTGTTCATATAGGTTAAATATTATCATCAGTCATTTCAAGAAACTGGGCACTTTGTTCCCTTATACACTCACCTTTCAAATTAAAAACGAACTTATAATAAGTACCATCTGCACAAATAACTAAAAAATTAAATTTTAATAGGGATTTAAAACGCATGGTACCATAGAATAGGGCAAATAGAATGTTTATTTTACTTTAAAATGATATTCTAGCATAATTCATAATTTCTATTTCGCCCAGTTTTACAATACCGAAACGTATGGGTCGTCTCATAACATCACAAGACGACCTTTTGCACCTTGATTAACTCACCTATAACGGAATTGTAGTCTGTACCAAATGCGCACACGCAGGGCGGACCATTAGGAACTGTAAACTTGCAGAAGGACCAAGTGGATGAAAAATATTTCGGCAAAAACGTCGCGTTCGCAAGGGATGATTGTTTATTTAATTTTGGATCATCCAAAGAGAAAATGTGGACTGTGCCATGGTCAGAAGCTACACATAGAGCTGTGGACGTATGGTTAAAGTTTATGCAGTAAATTGTGGCCTAAAAGAAATGTTAAAACCTTTATAAGGCTTCTAGAAAACCTGTTAGTTTTATATACATAAAATTTATCTTTATATGGCTTTGTAAATGTTTATAAACCTCTTATAAACTAAATATTGGTTTTATAGACTTAATATGGATTCTCCAAAGATTTTGTAACTAAAAACTTGTTTTAAACTAATATTTTTAACATTAACAAGGCTTTGAAACTTTCCAAATTGTTTTGAAAACGTTTTTTAACAGCCAAATACATTTGAAAATTTATAAGTACATTATAATTATATGTGTGTAATAAAACAAACCTGATGTGCCCCTCTTCTAAGCTCTGCAATTTTATTTCCACTTGATGTGTCAAAAACCCTTATTAAAGTGCCTTTTTCACTGGCTGTGGCTAATCGAGTGCCTTGCAAATTTAATGAAATACAACTTAAATTTGCTTCATGAGCTAAAATAGAATAAAAACTGTCTATAAGAATGGTACCTACAGTATGAAAAAAAATACAAACCTGCTATATCTAGTGGTGATTTTTCCGTGTTAGCAAGGTCTACCAACTGTACAATGCCAGTTTTCCTGCCAGGAAATGCCAGAATTGAGTTATTGCTGTTTGGACATAAAACACATAACCCCTTTGGATTTGTGTTGGTTTCGAATACATGTAGTTGCTGTGGGGTTTGGGTGAATGTATATACTTTAATTACGCCCTCTATAAACATATTAAACATTAATTTTTACATACATTAGCAGAAATTGTAACATTACCTAAAACACATACAATCCTATCCCGTCTAAGTCTTATAGCTAGAACAGGGGAGTTAAAATCCAAAATAATAGGTGTAGTCTTTTTTAAATCATCCCAAATTACGACTTTATTATTGGGGTATAAGGGTTTTGGTCCTCCACCAACTAGTGCCAAATAATTACACCGAAACAACATCTCAATATAGCTGAGCCCCCCATTATCAAAATCCTGCCTTTCTTTTTCCTTCAACGGATCACAATTGTATATTCTAAAACCACTTGTAGTCGCGCAAGCAAAACAACCTAAGATTAAACCATATTTAATGAACAATTTATAACAATTATCCTCTCACCTTGATCCTGGTTGAAGCCCGCGTATAGTAAGCCGTTGCCGTAGGGATTCGACCGTCCCAAATTCATGACAACTGTTTAAATAACACAAAACGCACAAAAAATAAATTGCATCGCAGAGAATAAAGAAATCGCAATAAACATAACCTAACTTTCTAATGTCATTGAATTGACGACTTCACAACAAACGTTGCCAAGTTGTTATTAAATTAAAATAAGTACAGTAGTTCAAATGTATCATTTTGAATTCCTTATCAATTTCTTATCAACAATTATTGTGGTAAACAGATAAATTATAAAATTTTGCGCTTGAATCACAGTTAGCTATTTAAATTATTGCGAAATAGACGTGAAGTGGCTTTTAAAAATAGTGATTACTCATTCAATTACAATCTGACAACTCTGCAGTACTCCAAATTAATCTGAATTTATTCATAGTTTGATTTGGTCTTTCACAATTAATACAAACAAATATACGTTAAACGTGCAAAATGAGTGCTGAAGAAGTAGTCAAACGTCTTAGGGAATCGTTCAAAAATGGAAAAACCTTACCGGTAGAAAATCGTGTAAAACAACTAAAAGCATTGAAAAGAATGTACGAGGAAAATAAAAAGGAAATGTGCGATGTTTTGGCTAAGGATTTACGTAAGAGCACTCAAGAAGCTATCGTATTGGAAATAGACTTTCTATTGAACGATATAACTCACACGTTAATGAATATACATGAGTGGGTAAAACCAGAGTATCCCTCAAAGGGTTTCATAAACCTTTTAGACAGCATTTACATCTGCAACGACCCCTATGGAGTGGCCCTTGTAATAGGTTAGATATTTGAAGTTTAAAACGTCAAATTTGACGTTTATAATGTCATATATGACGTTTATAGTCTAAAATTTGACATTTCCAATATAATTTTTTTTTTATTAAAGGGGCATGGAATTATCCCCTACAATTAACAATGATGCCTGTGGCTGGGGCAATTGCAGCTGGAAATTGCGTTGTTTTAAAACCATCTGAGTTAGCTTCAGCTTCTGAGAAGTTTCTGTGTGAAACTATTCCGAAATATTTGGATTCTGATGTGGTTCAAGTTTATACAGGAGGTGTTAAGGAAACTACGGAATTACTGAAGCAGAGATTTGACTATATTTTCTTCACAGGGTCTACAAGTATGTTTATTAGACTGGGCCAAAAAAATCGACTATTTTTTTTTTGTAAAGTATATCGAAAATATTGTTTGGGGTAACAAAAAAAAATATTGTGAAAATTTGAGTCCATAATATTAATATTAAGAGGTCCTGAGCGAGCTTTTGTCTCAGAACTCCCAAACCATTGAGTTTAACAAAATTGAATATTTTTTGAAGAAAATTGAATGTTCTACAAAAAAGGTTTGATTGGAATTTCCCGTCAGATGAACCGTTTTCTTACAATCATGCCTTAAAAATTGGTATGGTTTTACAATTTAAATTTACCATTTAAATATTTGATCTTTTAACTTTGGAATTTTGTAATCCATGTAAAAATCAGTACCTGAAAAAAAACCGATAGATATTCTTATGGGAAATCAAATGCTTTTTTGTAAAGCATCTGATTTCCCATGAGTATATTCATCAGTTTTTTTCTGGGTACTGATTTTTACATGAATTACAAAATTCCTAAGTTCAAAATGTAAAACTATACCAATTTTATGATTTTAAGGAAACGGTTCATCTGACGGAAAATTTCATTTTAACCTTTTTTGTAGAGCATTTAATTTTCTTAAACTCAATAGTTTGGGAGTTCTGAGACAAAAACTTGCTGAGGAAAAAAAAATTAAAATTGCGATGATAGACCTCTTAATATTAATATTATGGACTCAAACTTTTACAATAATTTTTTTTGTCACCCCAAACTAAATTTTTGATATACTTTTCAAAAAAAAAATAGTTGATTTTTTTGGCCCAGTCCAATGTTTATTATACAGTTTTTGACATTTTAGTAACTTGGTTAATTCTTTTAGCATCAATATTTAATATAGGGTGTCCCTAAAATGGCGCACAAAGGGTGTACCACAATTTAAAAACTATTAATTGAAAAAATTTGTTGTATTTTTTTTAAATTACCCCTCTACAACCATGGCATATTGTTATTTTGCCGTTTCCAGGACACCCTGTTTAACCACATTTATTAAACAACTTGCCAATTTTTATACATTTATTCTGATAAATTACTCGTTTTTAATCAATAATATTTTAATTTTTAAAACACTTGAACCTTTTAATTTAAATGTTATTTTTTTAATTTTTGACATTTTAGCAACTGGAAAGATCGTGCACAGCGCTGCCAACAAATACTTGACGCCTGTGACCTTGGAATTGGGCGGTAAATCCCCGGTGTACATCGACAACACTGTAAACATTTCGACGACCGTCAGAAGGCTACTTTGGGGCAAAATGACGAACGCAGGTCAAACGTGCGTGGCCCCAGACTACGTCTTGTGCACCAAAGAGGTCGAGGCGAAGATTTTGGAAGCCGCCAAGGTTATTATAAAGGAGTTTTACGGGGAAGACGTCAAACAATCGCCGGATTTCTGCAGAATCATAAACGACCGGCATTTCGACAGGGTTGTCAGATTGTTGAGCAGCGGCAAGGTGGCTCTGGGTGGCGATTACGACGCCAAGGAGCGGTACATCGCACCTACCATTTTGACAGGTGTCAGTGAGAATGACCCTGTGATGCAGGACGAGATTTTCGGGCCGGTTTTGCCCATAATTAACGTCGAAGACGTTAAAGGGGCCATAGATTTTATTAATGGCCGCGAAAAACCTTTGGCGATGTATATATTCTCCAATAATTCTAAAAATGTCGACTTAATTCTGGAAAACACTTCAGCTGGGGGGATTACTGTAAACGACACCGTCATGCATTTGGGGGTCGACACGCTACCGTTTGGAGGTGTCGGTATGTCCGGCATGGGCAGTTACCACGGTAAATTCAGTTTCGATACTTTCACGCACAAAAAGAGCGTTTTGCACAAAAATTTGGGCGCCATGGGCGAAAAATTGGGCATGGCCAGATACCCGCCTTATTCAAACTCAAAAATACAGTATTTAAAGTTCATGCTTGCCCCTAGCGCCGGTATACCGTTGATCAAACATTTTCCCAAGTTGATTATTTTTATGATGGGTTACGCCGCTAATTACGTCATCAAAAAGTATTACAAATAAGTTGTTTATGTGATATGGTTTTTTAATTGGTGCTGGCTCCTATATAATAATTATATTATTGTTTTTCTATTGTAGGTTGTACGCACAAATTAATTATGCCTTTTAAAATATTACCAATAAATATTTTATGTTTTTTTGTGCTGGATTGCATTTATATAGTATTGTTTAATATAGTTATACACATATTCTATTTTTTTTAACATTAATAAATGAAAAATTGTATATAAATGCTCGTTTTATTTCATACAAATTATACACCTAAAACTTTATATTTTTGAAAATTATTTTGTCATTTTCGTGAACATTTTTACCGTGTGTTCGGTGTTTTTACATTTCATTGAATTTTTAACAATTTTACTGAATATTTTGACTTTAAGGGTATACTATGCTTAAAGTGACTTAATTATTGTTGAATCATTACATTATGATTCATACAAAGAAAACGTCATTCAACATGTTTGTTTGTTTATATCATGGTTTTCGTATCGTGATTTGGACCATACATGGTCCTATTAGTAGAGGATCCCAAGTAAGGTCGACCTTCACCCATCTGCTTACCAGATGAAAATTATATTTTATCAAATAAAATATGTTTCTGAACATAAACCAATAGGGTTGCCATAAAAAATATGATCAAGGCTAGCTATAATAAATAAAAAATTTAAAAAAAAATAATTAATTTTTTAAATTTCACCGACTTGCTTGCCAAATGAACGAAATTCCAATGGAAAGCATAAAACATACAGAATATGTAACAGCTAGGTTGCCTACCTTTTTCTGGTCCCTATTACCTGGTTGCTTTGTACAGGGTGATCCCCTATAATGTCGCCCCCCTTTAACTTTTTTATTTTAAGTGTCCCAAAAAATTTAAAAGTTTGGTTATGTAGGTACTAAAAAATACTTTTTTTCTACGTATAAAGAAAATTGGAAAATTGATCAGTATACAGGGAAAAACAAAAAGTTTATTTTTTTTCAATGGATCACCTTATATATGAATTTATTTTTCGATTCCTTGTAAAATTCTGAGCATAATTTATATAACAAACCATATACCTAAATTCAACCGTTTCTGAAATATTCGCATTCGAAATGTCATCATTAAATGTTTTTTTAAACTGTTAGAAATCAAGAAGCCTCAGTATACCAAAATTTTTATTGAAAATAAATTACTATAGTGACATTATGTCAATAAGTGTTGTTAAATAAGTAAAAATGGCGTACTCAGACAGAGAAAGACAAACTATTTCAACATATTATCTTAAAAATAATTTAAATATTTCAGAAACGGTTGAATTTAGGTATATGGTATGATATATGAAATATGCTTAGAATTTTACAAGAAATCGAAAAATAAATTCATATATAGAGTGATCCATTGAAAAAAATATACTTTTTGTTTTCCCTGTATACTGATCAATTTTCCAATTTTCTTTATACGTAGAAAAAAAGTATTTTTTAGTTCCTACATAACCACACTTTTAAATTTTTTGGAACACTTAAAATAAAAAAGTTAAAGGGGGGCGACATTATAGGGGATCACCCTGTACAAATCAACCAGGTAATAGGGACCAGAAAAAGGTAGGCAACCTAGCTGTTACATATTCTGTATGTTTTATGCTTTCCATTGGAATTTCGTTCATTTGGCAAGCAAGTCGGTGAAATTTAAAAAATTAATTATATTTTTTTAATTTTTTATTTATTATAGCTAGCCTTGATCATATTTTTTATGGCAACCCTATTGGTTTATGTTCAGAAACATATTTTATTTGATAAAATATAATTTTTATCTGGTAAGCAGATGGGTGAAGGTCGACCTTACTTGGGATCTTAGACTATATACACAATCCACACAACAATTGGTCTGTTCTATCTCATGCTAAAAATACTAAAAATCACTGCAACTCTGCACAGAGTTTAACGGCGGCCATTTTTGTTGTTTACAATTCTTGTGCTTTGGGTTTTTGCTGTTTAAAACGTTGTGTTTCTTACAGAGGCACTTGTAAGCCTCAAATAAGGCCTTTAAGTGCTAAGGACAACCATTTTACTCCTCTTTTATAATAAATATACCTTATTCTATCAGGGCTGTCAAATGACAATTTTAAGGTTAATTTGTGGGTTATAATTTAACCTTACTATGAGAAACACAACGTTTAAAACGATTATTAATCTGTATAAACAGAGACAAACCCAAAGCACAAAAATTGTAAACAACAAAATGGCCGCCGTTAAACTGTGCAGTGTTGCAGTGATTTTTGTATTTTTAGTACGAGATAGAACAGACCTTGTTGTGTGGATTGTGGTCCTATATATTAAGCCTGATTTATGGATTACCTTCCTTCCTCCCGTAAAAGATGAACAATACGTAATGCCATTTATAGATTCCCGTACGGGAATTTTTAAACAGCACAACGGTTTTTGTATTGTTCATCTTCTATGGGAGGAAGGAAGGAAGGCAATCTATAAATCAGGCTTTATGATAACAAATATATTTGGACTCCAAATTTTGGAGAACCGCACAGTTGTCATATTTTAATAGAATAACTATTTTTAATTTTTACTTCATGTTCATTATGCGATAATTTAAATAGATAAGATGGGATTCAAGATAAACTTTGCATAATTTATTTGTTTACCTAAATAGAACAGAGGAAATTAAAATGATACCTTTAAAATTCAAATGTAACATTTTCTTATCTACCTATCCTGTTTAGATTATTACAAATAATACAAAGTTGTGTCTAGAGTCCCAAGGAATTAATGAAATGTGTATGCAGAATATTTCTCCCTCCTTAAAAATATGTTTTGTTTACTAAAACATTTTTTGTCTTATACTATAATAAAAAATATAATATCTGCTGGTTAAATTCTGGTCATATGTATATAATTATATACAGTTATATATACTTAGTTTAAACTGGGCCACCCTGTATAATATACATTTTGATAAACTATGTGCTGGTGATATAAACTGTACCACCCTGTATAATATACATGTTAGGCATTTGTGGGTTGATAACAGCAAATAAAAAAATAAAAGAACAAATAAAAATACCTGTTTTATTAAATAAATCACAATTACACTGACAATTCTATCTTAGCTATTCTCTCCAAATCATCCAGACTCATACTATCCATTTTCGACTGCACAATTCTCATAAATTCCTCCGTTATTAAATTGCACTGTTCATCTGAGTAATATCGTCTTAAAAATCTGGCCAAAACAACCTGGAGGGATTCAGCCTTCTTGACTGCCGCATGCAGTTTGGTCATGTCTTTGATTTTTGGATAGTCTCCTATTGATTTTTCATCTTGTAAAGTTTTACCAAACAGTACCAACGTTTGTTGAGCCCAGGGTATTTTAATATCGTTTTCAACCAATTTTTTGACGTCTAATATTGACGTGTGTTCGTTTACTTCCACTATACTGCTCCCGCCTTTAATATTTTTTACCACAATCTTCATTTTTTCGTGTTTTTATATGCAAACTTGGAATTTTTCTGGAATGACACTGACACTAACTTATAGGTTTCACTTGATAAATAACCTTGCATTAACTGTTAAGAAAGCTGCTTTCACGGTTATAGAGTATTTAAAAGGGTTTATTTGTTTATAAATTGTTGAATTATTTTATAACCTTATTAGATTTGACATTTCTCACGTCACAGTAAGTGGCGCCACCTATATTGTATTGAACAAACTAAATTGGTCATTGCATTCAATTGGGGCGGGAGGTTTAAAAATAAAACACTTTTTAGGGTTTTAAAGGACTAATTTTCAGTTTAATTGGAAAATTATAACAGCCAAACACAAAATTATTAAATTGCTGGCGCTAAAATGGCATAATACTGAGTTTTCACTGCTGTGTAATGTTTTTAAAGGTCCTATATTTGCAGCGTAACTTATGACATAAGCTACATAGGTTTGTTCGTGAACCGAGTTAAATAAATGCGCCATCGGGCCTAAAAACAGTTTAATGTAAATTTAAATTAATAATTATTATAAATACAGTTCATTATTTTATCTGGACTCGTGTTTTTTTGTTAGGTTGGTGGCTTATGCCAGTTTGACTTAGTATTTTTAGTATTTAAAAATGGTACTTCTGCTAAAGAATTTAATTGAATACTTTGACACTGTCGAATTGACAATAATATTTATTATTGATAATTTACTTGTCAATTATAAATAAAAAATAATTATGCCAAAAATAATAGCAAAGAATTCGAATGTAAAAGCCCTTTTGAGGGCAAAACTTCATTTTGATGAAATTATGCCAAATGCCACAATGGAAGAAAAGGTACATCGCCTTATGGACATTTTTTGAGTAAAAAAGTAACGAATTTGGTTTTATAAATATTACATCACACATTATTTTCACATTATTCACCATTGGACAACATTTACGTTCACAAAAAATTTTAATTTCTTTTATATAAATTCTTTTCAAAGCGAAGATTGTTAATAACAATTTGTTATCCGCTAGGAATACTTTCTCTTCTGGGCCGTAAAGCAACCTATATTAAACTACTTTTTTATATGATTTTACTCATCCAAGCACCACCAGAGCCAAATTAATTGCATTTTTAACAACGAATTTCGACGACTCAACTGCACAATGTAACCTACAATAATTTATACATAACCACAATTAGATTTATAACTAGCTTAGTTTGTTTTAATCAATGCGACCAACTTGACAACTGTATTTACCAATCAAAACCCTAAATTTGCAACGTTGCCGCAGTCCAGATAAAAAATGAACTTTAGTATTTTTACCATTGGCATAGATGGCGACATCTGTACCAGAGTGAGTGACTTCATCGTTTAAAACAGCAGATTGTTGAGAATATTCAAAATCTTGAGTGTTGTTTTTTGAAGGGTCATTTCTTAGTACTGTGTTGTTGTCTATGTGATATTGAAAATTATTTGGACCTCCAGTACCGTACAACAAAGATGTATAAGGTATTTTATCCATTGGGGATGATTGAGCAACATCTAAAATACAGGGTGTTTTAAATTAATTCAGCACGTGAGCAGGAAAAACATACTTAAAATACTGTTATTCCTGTCTGAATAGCCAGCAAACACCAACGAGTGGGAATGATCTGCTGTAACTATAATTAAAGTTTCCTGTTCATTGGTCATTTCTAAGGCTTTTTCAATGGCTAAATTGAAGGCTACAGTTTCATCTAAGGCTTGCCTAGCGTGCCCTCTATGGTGACTTTGGTCTATCATACCCCCTTCAACCTTAAAACGACTTCGAATTCACCTTGCCAACAAAAAAACACAGAAATACGTTACCATCAAGATGTAACCGTTTTTGTTTTTTCTCAGAACTTCAATAGCCTTTTCCGTCATGTTTGCTAGAGACGGCATACCTTTGGGGCCTTTATCTCTAGCGTAGTCAAGCTTTAGATGGCCCTTGGCGAAAATACCCAGCAAAAAGTCGGTTTTTTCCGCGTCTAATTTGGAAAGTTGCTCGTTATTTTCTATGAACGCGTGGGATAGCTTTCTGATGATTTTATCCTTTTCCCACTCCCGTATCAAGTCTCTTCCGTCCGTGCTAAGGCAAGACCACGTATCTATAGGGTCAGCATCGGTACTCGTAACGTTCGACTGCAAACATTGGCGCCCACCGCCCATAATAACCTTAAAAAACCAGTGACTTTAAGAACTCTTAACAGTTTTGTGTTGTTGGCTGAAGAGATAGGTCGCTTGATGAAAGAGTATTGAAACATAAATGACTTCCTTCCTTCACGGGACAACACTTAAAATTTTTTTCATGGAAGCGTTTTCGAGATATGAATTTTCAATTGTTTTTCTTTTAAATTTTCTGAGGAGTTTTGACGTTTTAGAGTATACTTCGAGTTCTAATTGATCGATTTGACCAAACAAGCACTTAAATCAAAGGTAATTGAGCCCTCTACAACTTTCTCTTGTATAGTTTTGGTATCGGCTCAGTAGTTCGATACTGGCGATTTTATGAAGTTGAAAAAGTCCTTTTTTTTTTAAAAAATCGAGGTCGAAAATTTACATATCTTTCTGGGAAAGATAGAAATCGAAAAGATAATTCTTGTTTGATTTATATTACGTATAGATTATACTTAAAGAAAAAAAATAGGCTGCTGTTTATAAAAATCCATGGATAAATGGCGAAGTTATGAATTTTTCAGTGGAAGACCAAAATTCAGTTTATGGAGAATTTTTACGTTTTTTCTTTATTTTATTGAATTATATAAAATTTAATATTGAACATTGATTTTTATTTTAAACATTAAATATTGAAATTAAATTATATATTGAATATTAAACAAAAAATATTGAACATTGAAGAAATCGAAAGCTGTATTTTGTTGTAGGTAATAGGCATAGGTTTAAAAAATGCTGGCTCCTTCTTTGTTTTTTGTTGCTTTCCTATTCAGTGTCTTGTATGAGGGACCAAATGTAACCACCCATTTTCCAGAAGCCGTGATACCGCCGCTCCATAGCCTTCATTTGCTGGTGAAAACGTTCTCCGTGCTCATCACTTACGTCACCCAGATTGTGCGGGTTATTTACGCACTCGAACTCTCTACTTCTTTTACTCATTTTACACTTTTTATTAACTAAATAAAACCATGATAAAAATACCTTGTTGAAATATCAAAAAATACCAGTTAAATGTCACTATGCCAACACGAGAAACTAAAGAATTCACGTTTGCGGAGTCATGTCAATTTTATATTTTTTGAATAATGTTTTCGGTGAAAAAAGTACGTAAAAAATTCAAAAGATTTCAATCATGCACTTTATTTAGGTTTTCCTTAAAGAATAAACATATTACAAAATAAAAGAAAAAAAATAAAATAAAAACCGTCAAAAAGCTGAATTTTGGTCTTAAAATCGCTAGTCAAAATGCTTATCCGATATCAAAATTATATAAAAGAAAGAGGGCTCAAATACCTTCAATTTAAGGGATTGTTTGAGCAAATCGTACAATTAGATTTCGAGCTATACATAAAAAAAGTCAAAACACCTCCGAAAACTGAAAATGGACATATTAATAAACAAGAATATATCGAAAAAACAAGTGTGGAACAAAATTAAGGTAAAAGAAATTAGACATAAAATAATATTAAAATGAACTTAAGTTGTACTCAGATTTTCTTTATTGAGACCCTTGATCATATTCAATTTTCAAAAAATATAAAGAGCTGGCCAAATAGCTTATAATTAAGGTAAAGGCCCCTGAACACAGTCTTTCTGTGTTTAGATTGAAGAAGAAGAAAAACCATTCAAATCAAAAGTACTTCAATCAAAGAACTACATACTTGAATATTTTTCCCGGGCAAATCCTCTATCAACTGTTTCGCTATATCCTTGCATGGACTCCCTTTTGGCATCGTATTTTCGCACTCCCATTTTCTGTTGGGCGTGTGGGCGTATAAAGCACTGGGCGTGGCATGCGTGACCCTTGTCGTGGTGACAAACCCGGTCGATTTACCTTCAAATTCACCAAATTACAGGGGAAGACGTTTAAAAACAGGTCTTAGCGTTACCTGCCGCTTGTCCCCAGTCGATGATCGAGTCGTGCTGCGCAGACGGTTTCAAGGAGGCTGCGCAGTCGTTGTAGCGAACTGTTTGATCGACTCCCGCCGTTTTTTGGTTCGCTTTTACGCCGTTGAAGAGGGCTGTGGCGGTGCTGCACGAATCGGGTACTAACTTATCGGCAGAGTACGTCTGTGAATTATACAGGGTGTTTTAGGAATCTTAAGTTTTTTCAAAAATAGGACAAAAATAGCATCAAATACCCGGTCAACATTTAACGTAACACAGTATTGCTGTTATGTAACTTAGGAGTCACATGCAATGTAACGATGTTACTAAAATGCAACGCAATAGCAAAAAAATAGTAACATTGTTACTGTTCCAAGTTAACCAATACCCAGCTAGCACAAGTCTGTCCTAAGGACATCCTAAGGAAAGCCTTACAGGATATTGGGATATCCCAAGGATATCCTAGGACGTCCTCAGACCTCCTCAGGACATCCCAACCATGGCCGAGTGGTGCAAAAAAGGCCAGCCTACAGACGTCCCGCAAATGGCCTTTAGGATATCCTAGGGATATCCCTAGGTCCATATAGGACCAAGAATGGGATGTCCTGAGGACATCCTCTGAATGGCCTTGTTATTTGTTGGGGATACATTTTAAACAATCAAATACCATTTTATTACTTTATAAAATATATTATTTTAATTCTGTATACATATATATAATTTTACACAGCCAATTATATAAAATAAAAAATAAACACCTATTATAAAAATAAAATATATATATATATAAATAATAATTCTAAATAAATATAATAGTTATATTATTTATATATACACAGTGTCCAAAGTTATCTGCTCACCATTTTAACTCCATTATTATTGCAGCTACAAAGTCGGTTAAATTAGCAAATTAGTGGCATTTTTTCTTCTGATTAAAATGGTTAAGACAGAATAACAATTGAACATCAGGTTTCTGAAGTAATTACAAAAATAACATTTTATTAAATAAAAAGACAACTTAATATGGAACAAAAAATTATTATTGCATAACTACCCTAAACTTAAAAATAAACAATTAATAAGCACTGGAACTTTCTGATTGTTGTTGTAATATCCAACACTATAATAATATTATATTATAACAAACACACGAGATTCACGGCCTTAAACCAGGTTCACGACACAGAAAAAGAATTCACGGCACAGACAAAGAATTCCTTTCACAGTGTTATCTATGATTATTTCTAACAAAAAGACCCCAAACAACTAAAGGACGCTATACGACATGATACTTTGTATCATGGCTATACCGTATAGCCTATACGACATCTTAGCTTTCTCTCCATCCAGTGTTACCACCATCAGTGTTGCCAATGGTGTTGACATAATTTACACACAGATTCTGTCAAAATTCCACAATTTTGCCAACTATTCCACACATTTGGGATTTTGGTTTTGTTAGGTTTCTTTGGTGATTACCGCAGAAAGAGTTTCTGAGGTGAATCACAACAAAAACTCTGTCTGCGGTAATTACTGGTGATTAGACGTTTTCAAAAACTTACTAGATTACTTACTTTGTCAAAAAGTCTATTGTTATAACCGGTTTTAAATTACTCGATAACTTACGCTTGCAAGTTTCCAAAAACACCAGATTTTTTTAATTTGCTGTATATATAGAAATCTGCACAGAAATTCGTCCATAAAGATAAATAACTAAAATGCGCATTTGCAGATTATCTGCAATATCTTTTTAAATGCTTGTTATAAGCATTGTTAATTTAAAGATAAAGTTTACACGCAAATTCCACACATTTATGTATTACACACAAATTACACACAACAAAATAAATTCCACACAATGCGTGGATTTCCACGTACATTGGCAACACTGACCACCATAGACAATAGTTACCACCATAACGTATGGCGGCAAATTTAAAACAATCGGTAACACAAACTATTAAATAAGTTATAGATAGCGTTTGTAATTACATTTTTAAGGTTAACTGACGCTTACTCCCTTATTTATTATTTATAAAACTCTAAATGTATCAGTACAAACAAGGTGTTTGAACAATTATTAATTACCAGCCGTCATTTCTGCGCATGCGTATTAAGTTGGCTGCTATCCAGTTGTATACAAAATATATTTTGTGGTCATATAACAAAAACACAAAATATAATATTGTTTTTAAACTCCCGCCTTTAAAACGCCGATTATCGTACATGTTTCCATGATATTTTAAATACACATTGACAAGTTGTGGCTTTATGGCGTTTTAGTCACTGGCTGAAGTTGGCAGCAATGGCATTCGGACTTTTTAGTCATGGGTTGAAGTTAATTGCAGTTGTCAACTGCGAAACAATGACCATCAAAATAAAGGGTCTAAAAAGTGAGGTTAGAATAGACTGGTCGATGTCAGATTTTATAAATAATTATTTATATATAATTGTTGAAAGTTATTTAATTTTTGTGATTGTCGTAGAAAAAATATAGTTTATAAACTTAAAAAAATCTATGTAATATAATATTATAATTATATTGATTAACATTTTTAAGATGTGCCTATGCAAAATAAGTTATGTAAAAAAATGTAGGTATTATTAATTATATGGATAAAATATTCTTATAGAAAAAATGTTTACCAAAACCTAACGGGACATTCTGAGGATGTCTTTGGGATTAGTCCTATGATCAGCCCATTTTAGGCTTTAATTAGGATATTATTAGGTCCTAACGACATCCTTAAATGACGTTCCTAGGATATCCCAAAATGGGACCTTCAAAAGATCTAATGTCCGATAAGGTCAACCTATAGACGTCCTCAGGAAGTACTTATAGGATCATCCCATTCTGGGACATTTAGGCTGGTCCAAGGACGTCCTGAGGATGTTTGTGCTTGCTGGGTAGGCAATATAACAACAGCGTAACATTGCGAAACTATTGTAATGTATCAAAATTGCCAATAAGCAATGTAACAACAATGTAACATTGTGAAACTATTGTAATATAACAAAATTACCTACAAGCAATATAACATTGTTAAACTATTGTAATATAACAAAATTACCAATAAGCAATGAAACAACAATGTAACATTGTGAAACTATTGTAATATAACAAAATTACCAATTAGCAATGTAACAACAACGTAAAATTGCGATACTATTGTAATAAGTTTGTTACGTACCAATTACATTTATGTTACGTAACAAAATTATACTTATACACATAATTTACATCTCGCTCGTGTTACTAACCTCGGCTAGGTATATAAACGAAGTTAAGACAGCGCACCATGTCCATTTGTCATTGGACCTCAAACAGTCTGCAGGATTATGGGAAAGTCTGAACACCTACATATATGTATCATTTGATACGCTTTAGCGCTAAACTGACGGGACTTTCTCATGTCGAGCATAATAACGTTGCAACGTAACAATGTTACATAACCGTAAAGGCCATGTTTAACATTGCCATAATATCACAGAACAAATAATATGTAACATAACTTGGTTTTCGAAAAAGTAACGGCAACGTAACATTGTATTTGCAACCATCAGGTTATGTAACTGTAATGTCACATATTACGATTGTTGCATAACATTTTGGTTAATGTTACGTTACAGTTATGTTTCCCTTTCATAACGGCAATGTAACATTGTAATCCATTAAAAAGTTACATAACAACAACATAACAATTATAATGCATTTATGTAACGACAACGTTACATTGTTATGTAAAAATGTTACTTCAATAAGTGGGGAATAGGAACCTATTTGCAACCATCAGGTTATGTAACTGTAATGTTACACGTCAAAATCGTTACATAACATTTTGGTTAATGTTACGTTACAATGTTGACCAGGTAATTAATGAGATAAAAGTAATATTATTCAAATGATATACAATTAAGCCATTCAAAATGTTAGTAAACAATTCAGAATTTATTTTCATATATAAATTTGTTGCCCCAATTTGAATGATAATATTCTGAATAAGTACTTTTAGCAGTCCTAAATTGGTAAATTTTTCAAAGGCAAAATTTCCTTTTTCGGTTTTTCCATAAATTCTAGAAGCTGTTACAGTCGTGGGTCCCATGCCATCTCCAATAAATATTATAACATTCTTGGCAGGTTTATTTATAATTTTTATTTCCCTAGATTTTTTTATATCTTCTAAACCGAGTTTTTTCCAATAGTTTATGTCTAAAAATACAGTTTTTATTGCCAGGCATTTTTTGAATAAATTTAACACTCACCATCGGAACAATAGGATACATTTTGTATAGCTAAAAATAGACCAAATATAAAAACTACGACACTAAACGACATTTCACTAGTAACTGCACGACTGTTCAGTTACCTCATGTTATCAGTTAAATTTCGTACCTATAGTCGCGTGTATAAAGGAAATCCTAGTGTCTAGCCTACTTGACGAATTTAATGCGCCCATGGTATTATTAAGTGGAAGCAATTAGTTAATTGTAGGATGTTAGCAAATTTTTAACATTATCCATTGCCAAAATAAAATTATGTATAGATGTACCTGAACAAAATTAATAAAATCATTATGAATATAATGGTAGGTAATAATTATTGTCCGCATGCAGAAAGGATAGTTAAAATTTGTTGGTCCAAAAAATATTCATCCAATCCATGTGGAACTTTAGACTTAAGCAATTTCATTGGTTATTAGTATGTTTTTTTTTTTTGAATTTTGTGTTCTTACACCCAAGGCTGTGACCGGGAAACGAACCCGGTACCGTGGCGTATGTTTTGAAACGAGCTGTCAAAATTAAAGTTGCAAATGTTTTGAAAGCAGACAAATATTACTTTAAAATTTATAGGGTTTTCCTCGATAAAAATACACTATACACGGCGTCCAAAGTTATCTGCTCACCATTGCTAACTCCGTTATTATTTGAGCATTTTTTCTTCTTTTTGAAATGGTGAAAACAGAAAAACAATTAAACGTCAGGTTTCCGAAATATTCACAAAAATTTAAATTAGTATATTATTATACGAGAGGTAATGCAGGCACGAGGATGAGGTTTACGTCTCGAGTCGCTAGACGAATATGGTTAACCTTACTTTTTACCAATTTTAAATGTTATTATAAATGTCTTCTTAAGGCCGTATTACAGCCGGCAATTCCTCTTGCAGCAATTTTTCTTGCAGAAATTATTCTTGCCATCAAGTTTTCAAGGCCGTATTGCATGTTCTTCTTCTTCTCTGGTTTGATTGGCCTTTCCCTTCCGGGAATTAGCCAGCTGTATTTTATTATTATTATACTGGAACAAGCGAGTCTAGGATAACCTATAGCTTCTCCTTTTCTTCTTGGTTTTATAGTTTATTAATTATTATTATTTATGTCACTTTTAGATTCTTTTTTCACTTATAGTCTTTTTATTCACTTATGTCCATCACTATCATTTTTGTCTTTTTTAGAGTTTATTCAATAAAGCTTATATCAGCAGCGGAAGTCACTTTTATTACACTTTTACACATACAAAATCACGATATTAGCAGCGGAAGTTACGAGGCAAAAAAAAATTAAAAAAAAACCGACTAGGCACCACATGGCTGTTTGCAGAAATATATTCAGTCCTTCAATATAACGATCATCCTGTGGAAATCCCTTGCATCTTTACCAATCTATTGTAGATTTTGTGGATTCAACAATTATCAACTTATTTATGGCATTAATAAATTTTATGCGATGAGTTTCATATTATCCACTCAAGGATAGCCGATCCATCTACTTCAGCAGATAACACAAAACTCCGTATTGCATGTTGTTTTACAGTCAGCAATGGCAAGACAACTTGCTGTTTATTACCGTGCTACCAACCGAAGAAAAAAATACGATTTTGTAAACACTTTGTTTATTTGTTATTTGTTAGTAAAGATATTTAAAAATTAATGAGTAAAATGGATACTAGAACTTTGAACAAAATGTCAATCATAAAACAAATAACCTTAAACTTCTTTCTTCTATACTTTTCATTCTCTCTTTCGAGAGAATTGGACTTTACTGTCCAGTTACTAGTTTTAACGTCCAATGATTTCCGAAGAACCAAAAACCATTGGACAACGGTTGTCTGACGAACACGTGGACACAAATAGGTTATATAACCTTGAAATTTATATGTTCATATAAATTCCTCTATTCCTTTTAAAAAACGACAAAACGAGGAATATTATCTAGGACTGGAATCCGATTTTGTCCTCCCTGAGTCAAAGTCAACTATATTTCACACTTTTTCATGGAGCTATGCACGAGCGATGCGCTTCTCACCGAGGATAAAATCGAACTCCAACCATAGATAAGGGATAAGTTGGGTGGGTACCTTAAACTGTTTAAGTCAAACTTAAACTGTTTAAGTCAAACAGCGTCTCTTTAGGGAATTTGTAGTATACTACAAAACCCTATAGGGTTGGTAACATAAAAGTTACCAGGTTTTACCCCAGAATTGCCGTGAAACGGCAATAAAAATCCATCCGGACCGATTTTCGGCAATTGCAAGAGATTCGTCGAAATGTCTCAACCGCGCATGCCTATGGCAATTTTCATTGCAATTGCCGAAAGAATTGCCGGCTGTAATACGGCCTTTACAATTTAAAACTCGATTGGTTCAAATCACAGTGAATACTGAAATCGGCCAATCACTGATGCCTAACAACGTGAATACTTAGTTTATTATTCACGTTGTTAGGCAGGAAATTTATAATGCTTAACAATATTCACGGAAAAACACCAAAATTATGCAATAGGAGTAGATAAACATATTTTAATAATAATAAATAATATTATTTTAACAACCATCGGAAAGTTCAAGTATTATTAATTGTTAATTTTTTAAGGGTCTTAATGTAATAATAATTTTTTGTTCCAAATTAAATTGTAATTCAAAATATGTAAAAATATATAGGGTGTCCCAATATTTTTTTTTATATTTGTGAATATTTCAGAACCCCGACGTTCAATTGTTTTTCTGTTTTTACCATTTTAATCAGAAGAAATAATGCCAGCAATTTGGTAATTTAATCAACTTTGTAGCTTCAATACACGTTGTTTATTGGAGTCAGAATCACTTTTGAAAAAATCATTTTTTCCCATTTTTTGCCCAGAATCCTGAACATATTGCAACCCCAGTCAAAACTGCCGAATCCATTTCGCGATTTTGCTTTCTTTAAATTTAAAATATGTTTAAAAAAATTGTTGTTGGGCCAACAAATCTTAACTAAGCTTTCTGCATAGGTACACTACATGATATAATCTTTAATAATTTATGAAGGACGAATGCATCAGTAACAAACAAACATCATGCTATTTAGTAATATGCACTGATTCAGAATGTTGTGGTTTTATCTAATATTAATATTAATTATTGTTATATATATTTTCACTGTAAAATCGAAAAATTCTTTTAAAATAAGAGGTATAGAACATGGCCCTTCAATTCCGATATTTGGAGATTCGTGGAGATTATTCACGCGAAGGGAGACGTTTGGAGGGATGCTCGAAAGAACTTATAATGAAAGGGGAGTAGGAAAAAGGTAAATAATAAGTAATAAAAAAATAATAATAAGATTTATAACGCAACTTCATTTTTCGTGAATACAGCTGACGCATCATAGCAACATTAGGTTTTAAAAGGGGGGAATAATTCTGAAGATTTGTCAGTTAAACTCCGATATGCATTTTAAAGGGGATAATTATTAGATTAATTTACTAGGATGGGGTTTTTGGGAAGCCACCAGGTCTAGTAATAACATAACATAAGTCGTTCTGCACTAATGCAAGAATTTTAAGAAATCATACATTTTGAATATTAGAGCTTCACGGAAGTTAGGATTTCGTATGTTTTTTTTTTAAACATCCCTTTGTATATTTGAAATAAGTTATTGTGTCTTTTGACACCTTAATATTTAAAAAAAATACAATTGTACATACATAAAATATTTATAAAAAAATCTACTTACTGAGATATTACACTTCACGGTGGATAGGTTTTTACATAGCCAATTATTAAACTTTTGAATTATCTGCATATAAATTGTAACTGACCTTCAGGAATCACATGCATCTATAATGTCGTAAACAGAGGTTTTTGCTTATTTAAAATGATTAAAGCGCCATCCGTTGCATACAATTTAAAGCAAAAGCAGATTCACGGAGGAAAGAATCAATTTTTGTAACACCTAGATAAATGGTTATAAAAATTATTTCTTTTAATTTTTAATAATATTTTATATTTGATTCGATTGCTTTGGATGTGTTTAATTTACTTAGTGAACTGATATTTTTAGTATGCTTTTACTACCTCAGATATTTGAAAACATATAGGTTAACCTAGAAAGAGTAACAGTCCCGGAGGATAGGTTTTAGACTTTTAAAACATTGTAAAAAATAATTAATTGCGGTTAAAAATCTGGAACCTGACCTGTAATATCTATAGATATACTTAAGTATACTTAATTATGAAAGATCAAAACACAATAAAAGTGTAGGTCAAACTTATTTAGTTTTATTAAATATCATGGGGTTAACACCTAGTCACTTTAAACAGTAAATTTTCAATTTAGTCAAATGTGTAAAATCATTATTTGATCGTTTTGCATTTAACTAAAAGGTATTTTATTATAAAAAACGTTTAAACATAAAACAATCCTCTTTCACGACTAAAATTATTAAAAACACTTGTACTTACTACACTTTGACAATGTATTGTTGAAGAACAGAGTATATATACTCTGTTCTTCTATAGATCTATAGATTACAAAAAAATAAATAATTTTGTTTAGATACTATGGGATAAGCAACATGGGCCTTAACATCGTAACTATCAAAGACCCAGAGTTGATTAAACAAATAACAGTCAAGGACTTTGACCACTTCACTGATCACCTTCAATTCATCAAAGGCGACGTGGATCTTTTATGGTCGAAAAATCTGTTCGCCTTGGAGGGAAAAAAGTGGCGCGACATGCGAACAACTCTTTCGCCGGCGTTTACCAGCAGCAAAATGAAGCTGATGTTCACCTTGATCCAAGACGCCTCCAAAACCTTCGTGGACTATTTCGAGAAGCAAAATCAAGACGTCGTGGAAGTCGAATTAAAAGACGCGTTTACTAGATTCACCAACGATGTTATAGCGACCACTGCGTTCGGCATAAAAGTTGACTCTTTGGCTGAAAGAAATAATACTTTCTACCTAATAGGGAAAAAGGCGACGAATTTTGGAACTATTGGAACGGTATTGAAGTTTATTGTACAAGCAGCATGCCCACCTTTTGCTAAATGGATGGGATGGGGTATGTTTTCCCTTGAAGTATCGGCTTTCTACAGAAAAACAATCAAGGAAACAATTGAAGTGCGCGAAAAGAACAACATCGTACGGCCTGACATGATCAACTTGCTCATGGAGGCCCGTAAAGGCAACCACATCGATGACGATGATAATGTTACTGACACCTCGTTTGCCTCGGTGGAGGAAACTTTAGCTGCAAAACCAAAAGAAGTAAAGCAAAGATTAACAGACGATGACATAACCGCGCAGGCCTTGCTTTTCTTCCTTGGAGGATTCGATTCTGTATCGAATTTGATGTGTTTTACCGCCTACGAGTTGGCAGCGAATCCAGACATCCAAGATAGGGTTAGACAGGAAGTTTTGGATACAGTTGAAGATTGTAATGGGAAAATAACCTACGAGGGTGTAATGAAGATGAAATACTTGGACATGGTTATATCAGGTGAGATTCCAAAATCCCTTAAACCTTAATGTAACGTTATTTTTTGTAGAGAGTCTACGTAAGTGGCCAAGCGCAGTTCAAACAGACAGAGTATGCACTAAACCGTACACAATTGAACCAGCTTCTCCAGGCGAAAAGCCCATTAAGTTAGAAACAAATGAATGCATCTGGATACCGGTTTATGGCCTACACAGGGATGCCAACTATTTTCCGAACCCGGAAAAATTCGACCCAGAGCGATTCAGCGAAGAAAACAAGTCGAAAATTTTGCCGTACACGTATCTACCGTTTGGGGCGGGACCTAGAAACTGCATAGGCTCCAGATTCGCTCTACTGGAAGCCAAATTGGTTTTGTGCGAGTTGCTGAGGAAGTTCCAAATAGTGCCAACGGAAAAATCGCAAATTCCACTGAAATTGTGCGTGGGTACTTTTACCATGGCCAGCGCAGGAGGCTTTAACTTTGGTTTCAAAAAAATGTAATACCATTTAGGTACCTTATCTAAATTGTCATTCTTTAATTCTTCAAAATTTATATTGACGTAAAACCCACTTATCTTTTTGGTCGAGTTTAGCGATATTAATAATTATTCTATATAATAGTGTAAATATTTATTTATAACTACACGGAAAGAAATGGATAGTCGAAAATTTATAGTACACTATTTTTATTAATAGTCACTATAAATTATATTAAAAACAACATACCAAGTTATTAGCACTGACTATAAAAATATTTTAAAATAGAATTGTAACTTTAAATATAATTTTTAGTAAGTAATACACAACAAATATAGTAACATATTCAATTAACTATATTTTATACCATCTTTAACTAAAATAAATTTAGTTACACCAGATTTTAAATTATGGTTGTAATAAATATAAGAGATATTGCTTATTACTATAATTATAGTAAAATTAACTCCCTTGTATAGTCAACCACCATGAGTCAACTTTAAACTTGTATAGTGACGAGCCGATCCTTCATTTGCATTGCATAGCAACAGTGGCAGTGGTAAGAGTAGGTTGTTATTTTGTGGTGCATCGTATTATTTAAATATGTTACAATTTTGGTTTAATTTCAAGTATTTTAAGAAGGGAAGTAAATGAATTTATTTATAGATTATGTAAAAAGCTAACATTCACTTACAAAGTTATGAATATGTGATTCTAAATAGTACAAATTAATTTTATAAAAATACCGAATTATTTAGATACTTAAACTTAACCTTTAATTTTATCTTTTGTTCTCTTGTGATAATTAGAGTTTAGGAAAAACTGTTATATTATTTTATTTTTGAAATATTTTTTGTTTTGTTTTAAAATATGTTACAATTTTGGTTTAATTTCAATTATTTTCACTGTCATTCACAAATTAATTTTATAAAAATACCGAATTATTTAGATATTTAAACTTAACTTTTAATTTTATATGTTGTTCTCTTGTGATAAATAGAGTCTAAGAAAAAACTATTTTTAGTTATTTTTGGAATATTTTTGTTTTGTTTTATAATATGTTTGTGACAATAAATATATAAAATATTTATATGATGCTTTTATTTTATAATTTTATGTATGTTTGTAGGTAAGCAGCTGTACTCTAGAGTGATTCAGAATTGTGAAATTAAATGTCGAGAGATATGGGTAACTTCTATTATTGCACTGAAGACCTCTTGACATTTCATCCCATGATTCTGAATCACCCTTTATATGTACCAAAAAAACTGTTAAATATTACTATAAAAACTAGTTAATATTTACTAAAATTTATAGTAAAACACACCAAATAAAATATAATTTAAAGAAAAAAAATAGTAAATCTTATAAAAAAATATAGTTAAAATTATTATACCAAGATATTTATTACTAATATATTGTTTTTTAAATATTACTATAACATTTTAATAAAAGCTAACATAATATTTTTGTACAAATTACTAGAAGGCATATATTAAAATTAATTATATTCATACATTTAAAAAAATCATACAATATAGTTAAATTTACTAAACAATAATGAAAGATAATTAACATATTTTTATAGTAAATTTTAAAATATCAGATAGCTGTCCCTATATTTATTAAAAATTATAGTATAACTTACTAGATTTATATTAATAATGACTATATATTTCTTTCCGTGTATTTTCATAATAAAGATTGGAAAGATATGCTTTATTTATAAATATTTTTATCAGAGACGAACTAAGGGTGAGATCAAAATATGCTAAAAAATGAAAGGTTGCAACAAAACTCGCTAAATTCTAAATACAACACTGTCCATTATTAAAATTTATTGCATCTGAAGGACAAATTGATTAATAAACAACTAGTCGTGTTTAGTTTGTTTTAGAAGCACCGTAGAATTAAAACAAAATGTATTGGTTAATTCTAATATTTCTTATAATAGTTTATTCCTATTTTCACATAAAGAAATGTAAGAATTTCTACAAAAATAAAGGTATCGAGCCTGGCAACTTACTACCCATATTCGGCGACAATTTTAAAATGATGTTTCGTTTGGAAAATTTAGCAGAATATATATCCAGAACATATTCCAGAGAACCCGGAAAAAGTTAAACAATAATTCTGAACTCCCCAAATAATAACACAATAATTTTATAGAGTATATGCTGTAAACAACATGGGTAACAATTATCTAGGCATCAAAGACCCAGAGTTAATCAAGCAGATCACAGTTAAGGACTTTGATCACTTCACGGATCATCTGCAGTTTCTCGAGACCGACTTGGATCCTCTATGGTCGAAAAACCTTGTCGCCTTGACGGGAAAAAAGTGGCGTGACATGCGAACAACCCTTTCGCCGGCGTTTACAAGCAGCAAAATGAAGCTGATGTTCACTTTGATTCAAGACGCGTCCAAAACCTTCGTTGGGCATTTCGAGAAGCAACATCAAGACGTCTTGGAGGTGGAATTTAAAGACGTGTTTACTAGATTCACCAACGATGTTATAGCAACCACTGCGTTCGGTATAAAAGTCGACTCTCTAGCAGAAAGAAACAATACGTTCTATTTGATGGGCAAAGAGGCGACCAACTTCACAAGCTATTTGCTACTTATAAAATTCATGATATTATCAATTATGCCCACAGTTGCCAAAATATTTAAGCTAGGCGTTTTTAGCCAATCAGTGGCGACATTTTTCAGATCGACAATCAAGGAAACAATTGAAGTGCGCGAAAAAAACAACATCGTCAGGCCAGACATGATCAACTTGCTCATGGAGGCCCGTAAAGGCAACCAAATCGATGACGATGATAATGTTACTGACACTTCGTTCGCCTCGGTGGAGGAATCCTTAACTGCAAAACAGAAAGAGGTGAAGCAACAATTAACAGACGATGATATAACAGCACAAGCCTTGATTTTCTTTCTTGGAGGATTCGATTCTGTATCAAATTTGATGTGTTTTACCGCCTATGAGTTGGCTGCAAATCCAGACATACAAGATATGGTGAGAAAGGAAGTTTTGAACACAGTGGAAGAAGCTAACGGCGAAATAACCTACGAGGGTGTAATGAAGATGAAATACTTGGACATGGTTATATCAGGTGAGATTCTAAAATAACTAAAACCTTGATGTTACGTAATTTTTTGTAGAGAGTCTGCGTAAGTGGCCCAATGCACCTCAAACAGACAGATTGTGCATCAAACAGTACACAATTGAGCCCGCTTCACCAGATGAAAAACCCATAACTTTGGAAAAAGGAGAACCAGTTTGGATACCAATATATGCTCTTCATAGAGATCCGAAATACTTCCCAAACCCGGAAAAATTCGACCCCGAGCGTTTCAGCGAAGAAAACAAGTCGAAAATAGTTCCATACACGTATCTGCCGTTTGGTGCGGGCCCTAGAAACTGCATAGGTTCAAGATTCGCTCTACTGGAAGCCAAACTGGTCCTGTGCGAATTGCTGAGGAAATTCCAAATAGTGCCAACAAAAAAATCACAAATTCCACTAAAATTTGGAATAGGTTCATTCGCGTTTGTTCCCAAAGGCGGATTCAACTTTGGTTTCAAAAAACTTTAATATAATTAATAAATAATGTAGATACATAGTAAATTATATTTAAGCATCCAGGTATTTCATTTCTTTTTCTTCTTGTACTCCTGAAAAAATTACTGAAATTGCTGGACATGATTTATAGTATTTGTTACTATGAAATAGTTCAAATATCTGCTTATCCAACAACTCTTTCTCCTTGGGGTTGTTGCGCTCATACATTATTTTGAAATAGCGTTCTTTTCATTTTTGATAGTTTTTTACTGTGAGGCAACGATTAACAGACGATGATATAACAGCACAATCCTTGCTTTTATTCCTTGGAGGATTTGATTCTGCATCGAATTTAATGTGTTTTACCGCCTACGAGTTGGCAACGAATCCAGACATAAAAGGTAGGGTTAGACAGTAAGTTTTGGATACAGTTGAAGATAGTTATGGGAAAATAACCTACGAAGGTGTAATGAAGATGAAATACTTGGACATGGTTATATCAGGTGAGATTTAAAAATTGGGGCGGGACCTAGAAACTGCATAGGCTCCAGATTCGCTCTACTGGAAGCCAAATTGGTTTTGTGCGAGTTGCTAATGAAGTTCCAAATAGTGCCAACAGGAAAATCGCAAATTCCACTGAAATTGTGCGTGGGTACTTTTACTATGTCCAGCACAGGAGGGTTTAACTTTGGTTTCAAGAAAATGTAATACCATTGATTGATTTACTACCCAATGTTTTTAGGTACCTTATCTATATTGTCATTCCTTAATTCTTCAAAATTTATGTTGACGTATAACCCACTTATCTTTTTGGTCGAGTTTAGCGATATTAATAATTATTCTATATAATAGTGTAAATATTTATTTATAACTATTTTCATAATAAAGATTGGAAAGATATGCTTTATTTATAAATATTTTTATCAAAAAATGAGAGGTTGCAACAAAACTCGCTAAATTCTAAATACAACACTGTCTATTATTAAAATTTATTGCATCTGAAGGACAAATTGATTAATAAACAACTAGTCGTGTTTAGTTTTTTTTAGAAGCACCGTAGAATTAAAACAAAATGTATTGGTTAATTGTAATATTTCTTATAATAGTTTATTCTTATTTTCACATAAAGAAATGTAAGAATTTCTACAAAAATAAAGGTATAGAGCCTGGCAACTTACTACCCATATTCGGCGACAATTTTAAAATGATGTTTCGTTTGGAAAATTTAGCAGAATATATATCCAGAACATATTCCAGAGAACCCGGAAAAAGGTAAACAATAATCTGAACTCCCCAAATAATAACAATAATTTTATAGAGTATATGCGGTAAACAACATGGGTAACAATTATCTAGGCATAAAAGACCCAGAGTTAATCAAACAGATCACAGTTAAAGACTTTGATCACTTTACGGATCATCTGCAGTTTCTCGAGACCGACTTGGATCCTCTATGGTCGAAAAACCTTGTCGCCTTGACGGGAAAAAAGTGGCGCGACATGCGTACAACCCTTTCGCCGGCGTTTACAAGCAGCAAAATGAAGCTGATGTTCACTTTGATTCAAGACGCGTCCAAAACCTTCGTGGACCATTTCGAGAAGCAAAATCAAGACGTCGTCGACGTGGAATTCAAAGACGTGTTTACTAGATTCACCAACGATGTTATAGCGACCACTGCGTTCGGTATAAAAGTCGACTCTCTAGCAGAAAGAAACAATACGTTCTATTTGATGGGCAAAGAGGCGACCAACTTCACAAGCTATTTGCTACTCATAAAATTCATGATATTATCAATTATGCCCACAGTTGCCAAAATATTTAAGCTAGGCGTTTTCAGCCAATCAGTGGCGAAATTTTTTAGATCGACAATCAAGGAAACAATTGAAGTGCGCGAAAAAAACAACATCGTCAGGCCAGACATGATCAACTTGCTCATGGAGGCCTCGTTCGCCTCGGTGGAGGAATCTTTAACTGCAAAAGTGAAAGAGGTGAAGCAACAATTAACAGACGATGATATAACAGCACAAGCCTTGATTTTCTTTCTTGGAGGATTCGATTCAGTATCAAATTTGATGTGTTTTACCGCCTATGAGTTGGCTGCAAATCCAGACATACAAGATATGGTGAGAAAGGAAGTTTTGGACACAGTGGAAGAAGCTAACGGCGAAATAACCTACGAGGGTGTAATGAAGATGAAATACTTGGACATGGTTATATCAGGTAAGATTCTAAAATAACTAAAACCTTGATGTTACGTAATTTTTTGTAGAGAGTCTGCGTAAGTGGCCCAATGCACCTCAAACAGACAGATTGTGCATCAAACAGTACAAAATCGAGCCCGCTTCACCAGATGAGAAACCCAAAACTTGGGAAAAAGGAGAGCCAGTTTGGATACCAATATATGCTCTTCATAGAGATCCGGAAAAATTCGACCCCGAGCGTTTCAGCGAAGAAAACAAGTCGAAAATAGTTCCATACACGTATCTGCCGTTTGGTGCGGGCCCTAGAAACTGCATAGGTTCGAGATTTGCTCTACTAGAAGCCAAACTGGTCCTGTGCGAATTGCTAAGGAAATTCCAAATATTGCCAACAAAAAAATCACAAATTCCACTAAAACTTGGCACGGGTTCATTCGCGTCTGTTCCCAAAGGCGGATTCAACTTTGGTTTCAAAAAACTTTAATATAATTAATAAATAATGTAGATACATAGTAAATTATATTTAACCATCCAGGTATTCAATTTCTTCTTCTTCTTGCACTCTTGGAAAAATTACTGAAATTGGTGGACATGATTTATAGTATTCTTTGCTATGAAATAGTTCGAATAGCTGCTTATCCACCAACTCTTTCTCCTTGGGGTTGTTGCGCTCATCCATTATTTTGAAATAGCGTTCTTTGAATTTCTGATAGTTTTTATACCACTCCCCCATATCTGCGTCCAGAGACTCAACGCCGTCTTGTCTGATGATTTGTAAAACTCCTTGCAATTTTTTTTTGAAATGAATGTAATCTCGAAACCATTTGGAGTCGGTAAAATTATTATCAGGGTCGGTGAGGGTGCTAGTTTTAAATATTTCGTCGTATTTTTCCTTTCCTTCGGAAGCATATTCCTCTTCAATCAAGGATTGCTTTTCTATGGGCGTTTGGTTTCCCGCGTATATCGACCCTATTCCGAGCGTTTCGGAGATGTCTCTGTAGTATGTGTGCTCTTGGTACAGCAAGGAGTGGGTTCCATTTGAAACTCCAACCCATGGATTTTCATTTACATCTAGGACAGTTATGTCCCCTTTGGGTTTGTTATCGAAAAAATCGCATTGCAAAGTCATATTGTTCGGGAACTCAAAAGATCCCTCACCGGCGTATTTGGTCTTCGCAAGCTTCCCTCTAAAGGTACCGCATTTTGAAAATTTAATCATGATGTCAGTGTTGTCGATCATTTTGTCATTGTACCACGATCCTGTGTATTCGTGCCCATCGTTGGTGGTGTAGGTACCGATTCCTTCGCGCCAAATCAACCCGCTTATGTGCGCACAGTATTCACCTTCGTACAAATCGCCATTGGGGAACTGAAAAGTCTCTGTTCCGGTGTAAAAATCGTCTTCGGGGTTTGTTGAATTTTTACTTTTTTTGGATTTTTTCGATTTCTTAGATTTTTTGCTTTTTACCATTATTTAAGTGTCAGGGTGACAGTCATACCATAAAATTTGTTTGGGACTTTGTTTGCCACGAACCAGTTAAAAACAAACAGCCCAAAATGTATAAATGTTACGATACAAAAGGTATAAAGTATATCTTGGGTGTGGTCTTTTAAAGGAGAGTTAATGGTACAAGATCTTCGCGATAACAAAGACATTTTTCTAAAAGCCTCGCTGATCCAATGCGTTATATTCATTAAGATAAAAATATAATTCCACAAAATTAAACGAAAAGAAAGTAAAAAACGCGACTTTTTTAATAATAAATCTCATTATATTCGGCAAGCTTTGGGATTTTTTTTGATCCAATTAAAAAACCTTCCGAAACAAATCAAACGTAATCCGAATTGCGAAGACCAAACCGGTGCATAATTAGGCCACAGGCCACAGCATGTTGCCAAGTTTCCTAAAAGCGGCAAAATCTACCAAAACTGCATACTGTATGATAATGAAATGATTATGTATGATTATTTCCCTCATTATAATATGAACCAATCAAAAGCCTTGAATTTTCGAATAAATTTCGTTTAAATAAGCGATTAAATCACTAGAACTATTTAACAGCGATTATTTCCCTCATTATAATATGAACCAATCAAAAGCCTTGAATTTTCGAATAAATTTCGTTTAAATAAGCAATTAAATCACTAGAACTATTTAACAGCGATTAAATTTAAGCCTCCATATTGGATTTTTGTTTACGATTTTATGGTGCTATTTACAAGTTTTAACAAACATTTTTTAAAAAACAATAAAAAATAAGTTATCTAGTTTACGAAATATCAATTATTACTTATTACATACCTTAAATTAATGGAATTTCCTTTAAAAAAATATTTATAAATTTTGACACATACGTCAGATTTTATGAATTGTCAAATAGTTTCCTTTAATTCGAGAAATAATCTAGACGTATATCACTCAACCTATAAATTTAATCTGTCAAACTATGCTCAGTAAGTTTTTTATTTGATTTTTCTTTTTCGAAAATACGCGGTCTCGTGATTTTATTAAATTATTTTGCATTCAACATTTTCCAACAAAAACCAAACAAAAGTACTGTGCCTAGTTTAACCTATTAAATTCATAGTTCTCGTAATATAATATATGAATATTTTATTAATCAATCAATCACGGGAAAGAGAAACGGGGTAAATTTTGACCATTTAGCGTCACCATTAGCGTCACGAGATTTATGGACAGCCCCGTTATCTAACAGTCGAAGAAAGCGCTAATATTATAGCCAAGCTCAGTGTTTGCAGATCGAAGCGAGACATTTATTACCTTTATAAAAATATATTTTAGTTCTTCAAATTATTTATAAAAAAACTTGACGTGGATCCATTTTAAACATATTAAATATACATATTTAACATGTTTTGTTTAGATATTAGAAAACAAGTTTTTTTATAGGTATTTTCACACAGGAAAAATTGAAGCAAGAATGATATATTCCGACTTATATGGGTCATTATACTATTAAGGCTATCTGCCATTTGTCAGTTGTCAGTAAATAAAAACAGCTTTGTTATAAAATACACTGGAGTTTACATTATATATAAAAAAAACTCTGTAACTCATGTTGTTTATAACTGTGGCACGAGATGGCGCCGCTGCAGGCAATGGTATCGCTATTGTTATTTTGCGCGTTACAAACAAGCAGCGTGTGTTTTTGAAGGTTATCTTTCGTCACATTTACTCGGTAAGTATTAGCAGTATTTAATTTTCTTTTTCATGTAAAGTAAACCAATTTCTTTCTTTTTAATTAATGCAATGTTTTATGTGCATCATAAGAGACTCTTTAAGTGAAACTTTACTGCCGAAAGTAATATAAGTTTGCCTAAATAATAGTCACAATGGATATAAAAAGGTGAAATATTAATTTTTTGGGGCTAAAACTATAATGATCCATATATGTTTTTTTAACAATTTAAAATCTGTTTTTTTAAACAATCTGTTCTCGTCATGTCAAAATATGACATAAAATATTAACAGTTTTTCACAACATTTTTTAGCATTAAAGTGCGTTTTAGTGATTGGTCGAAATATAAAAATACATTTTTAGTACTAGAATCATATCTTAAAAATGTATTTCTAAAATACATAAACATGTTACTAAATACTTTCAAAACTGTTGTTTCTAATTATTTTTTATTAGTATAGTAATCTTGAATAATTCTGGTTCTACAATTTCCCCTTATTTTGCACAAAGATATCTGTCCAAAATGAACAATACCAAAAATCCCTAAATCTCCCAGATATCTTGCGATCTGACAACAGCGCTTGGCGGCAAGTCACAAAAACAGTCGAATCGGCCACCGCTGCCTTAGTGGCAGTACCTAAGAACGGCACTACCGTGCAACACTGCGCAGCCCCCTCCCGCCGTTCCCCTCTCGCGCTGGCAGCGCGGTACCGCCCCCCACGCGGCCCTCCGCCTCTCCCTCCCCTCTCTGCGCGGACGGCAGGTTAGCCACCTGAGTCTGGTGGTACCTGAGCGTACCGTGGAACCTTCATAAAGGGTACCAAAATTAAATTTGATGTACATTTATTAAAAATATATTTAAATTACAAGATAATTACATGTATAATGTGCGACTAGGGGGACAAAGAGAAGATCCTCAAAAAACAAAAAAAAAAATATTTTTAAAATAAAAAAAAACTTATTAAAAACAAATTTGTAAAAAATTATCATTATAATGATATTATACTTTTTAGTCGTATCTACCTAATTAAATACTGCAAATACTTACCGAGTTAATGCCGTAACGACAAAACGCTTGTTTGTAACGCGCAAAATAACAATAGCGATCCATTGCATCAGCGCTATCTCGTGCCACAGTTATAAACTACATGGGTTACAGAGTTGCTTTATATGTAATGCTTTTATCACATTCTTTATTAGTACTGAGGAGCTACTTATTTGTTATTTCATTTTATAATAGTATATTAAAGAACTAATTTCATAAGACGTCATTTTGTCGCACGCAGACAATTTGTAATGGACGAGTGCGACAAAATGTCTTATGACATGAGTTCTTTATGCTATTTTATCTATTTTGCAAAAATTCTATAACAAAAAATAATTTTATACCTTAAATTTAATTTGGTCGAATTTTACTTCAAATAGTTGGTATCACAGTCATTGGTTTGACAGTTAATGTCATAATCGATTCGCCATGCCGTCCTTAATTTACTTATTTACAATAAGAGGCTGTTAAAGAAGAAAAAAAGGATTTTTTTTTGGTGTTTAACAAAATTTATTGCCAGAAAAGTCTCGTAGGTAATAGAAAAATCATAAAATATTATAACCAATATGCAAAATATTATGCTGTTTAAAGTATAGCCGACCTATAAAATCAAAATTTTGGGTGGGATAAAGTATCTCATTAAATCACCGAAAGCGGTGATAATGAATTCATTATGAACGCAAAAAATAGATAAAACTATATATAGTTTTATAATTCTGTTTCATACAAAACCTCAAATATATCCAATTTTTCACTATTGCAATATGATGGGGACATATGGGTGATGCTAACTTTCAACCTTAATTAAAAAATTAATATATTTTTAAATTTAATTGAAAAAAATTGACAAATGGCAGGGAGCCTTAATAGTATAATGACCCATATAATCATTATAATGATCATTTTACCTTAATCCACAATCCACACAACAAGGTCTGTAACAGTTCTATCTCATGCTAAAAATCACTGCAACACTGCACAGAGTTTAACGGCGGGCATTTTTGTTGTTTACAATTCTTGTGCATTGGGTTTGTGCTGTTTAATAATTGTTTTAAACGTTGTGTTTCTTACAGAGGCACTTGTAAGCCTCAAATAAGGACAACCATTTTACTCCTCTTTTATAATAAATATACCTTATTCTATCAGGGCTGTCAAATGACAATTTCAAGGTTAATTTGTGGGTTATAATTTAACCTTAAAATTGACATTTGACAGTTTTATGACAGCCCTGATAGAATAAAGTTTATTTTTTACAATAGAGGAGTAAAATGGTTGTTCTTAGCACTTTAAGGACTCTTTTAAGGATTACTATGAGAAACACAACGTTTAAAACGATTATTAATCTGTGTAAACAGAGCACAAACCCAAAGCACAAAAATTATAAACAACAAAAATGCAGTGTTGCAGTGATTTTTTGTATTTTTAGTACGAGATAGAACAGACCTTTTTGTATGGATTGTGCCTTAATCCAAAAAGTTTTAAAATACTTAATAATAATATTTACTATAATTTTAACAAAATTCCCTTAAAAAAATTGCATAAAATCCTAAAATATTGTTTTATCATTTAAACCCTTTCTGCGTAACTAAAGCTCCGCCACTGGTACGCCAGTCGAGTTGGCTGCGGTACCACGGCTGCCCAAGATCCTTCGATTCCTCGGCCTGCTCAGTCCAAAGCGTATAAGCGTCCGAAACGAGCGACCTCACGCTATCTCAACGTTCCGCGCTAGTTTTTCCATTATTTTAAGTTATTTAGTGATAAAAGTGTAAACTTTTAGTGATAATTGGTGTTACGGTGATTGATTTTAGTGATGTAGCCGCAATGGATTAAGGATTACTTTGATCGGTGGGTATATTGTTGATAATTTAGCGTCAAATTGACAGAGAAAATGTTTCGAAATCTACCTAAACGTTTGTTAGCGCGCAAAAGTGTACTGAGAACCTTTCGATGCGTTAAATTCGGTACCAACGATGCCGTGGACCCCCCGGAAGATTTCATAGTGAACCCGAAAAAGGATCGCCAAAACGAACCTTTCGAGCAAAAAAAGAAACGCTTGCTGTACCAATCCAGCAAAAGGGGGATGTTGGAGAACGATTTGATCATCGGTTCTTTCGCCAAAAAGTATTTGGACACGTTTACAGAAGAAGAGGTCGATGAGTACGATAAATTGATTAACATACCGTCCAACGAGTGGGTTCTTTACTATTGGGCTTCGGGGTTAAAACCTGTACCGAAAGAATTCGACGGAAAAATCATGAAACTTTTGAAGGAACATTGCAAAAACACTGGGCAAGAAATCAAGAGAAAAACTGCTCTGGGTACCATCGGTTTAATATGAAATGTTGTTATTTAAGAAACTGTATTCAGGATGTAGCTTTTAGATCCTGTTTCGCAATTTAATATAAAACTGCACCCAACGTGTTCCACAGAATTATTACGACACGATTGATTGTTCAAATTTAACACCGTAGAAAACGGTTTCGGACCCCGCGGTGAACATTATTAATAGGTTCAAAAGTATCGAATTTCATAACAAATTGTATTCGGGTGAAACAAAAACAAATATATGCATTTATTTGCGGAGAAAGTCTGTATGGGATATTAAGGCTTTCACAAATTGAAGTGAGTCCTGTAGAATCAAAAATTATAGTATTTATACTATAACATACTATATACTACATCTAAAATCGTTGAATTTACAATATAATAGCCAAACCAGTTTTTTGAGGATGACTGACAAGTTTAAGGCACTAGTAATATGCCGTATAACTCAAGCTATTAACGGTCTTAATATAATAAAATCACACCTGTGAAATCCCGAGGAAAATCCAAGATGGCGCATCCGATGTATCGTGAAACAAAAGGCATAGGCAGTAGCTTTTGGTCCGCTTTGTGGTTTAACAACCGATTTATGTCGACATTTTTATATACGAGGTTAAATTTATATACATACATAATGTAGTCTTATTTTTAATGTTAGAACCAAGGTTTTATTTATTAGATAAACTACGGGAAAGTTTCAAGAAACAATAATTCCGATATGTTGTGTAACTAATCAAATACTCGGGTAAAAATCTTGTTTTCCGATAGGTAACTGTTTTTTGCAAATTTTTCCACGAACACCATTAAATTTACATATTTTAATTGAGTAAAACAATGTAAGTAATAATTAGAAATATGCTAAATAGTTGTAGGAAATTGTTTTTTATTTTTTTACGTGAAAACCAGAAGTTTATAGCACTTCATTAAATTTATATAATGAAGAAGATTTGCATAATACAATTTGGTTTTGTGTGTTTTTGCTTGAAAAGGGTTTATTTGGTTTTATATAAGTTATATAAATAGTAACTATAGTTACAAGAAAGAGCCTGAAATAGCCTTTGACATGTAAAAATCTATTTATTTTAATCAATTTCTAAATAAACAAATTGTGGATGAAACAGTTTGGTTTCCACATTCCAACATTTCCAACGATCTGTTGACACTCCACTCTCTTTTATTGTCTAAGTACACTGCGCGTCAAAATTAACGCATAACAAGTAAAAAAATCCAACTCTAAAACGCCTTTACCAATTTTTATAAAATTTTACTCTCAGTTTACGTGTTCAAGGGTTTTTCGAAAAAATATCCTTAAAGCCCTTTTACTTAATAATAAAAAACGCTCGAAAAAAAACTTTTATAGGGAATTTTTTTAAGTAAATAAAAAATCTGATGTGAAAGAGCGTATTTTTGTTAGTATACCCTGAAAATGTTGTTCAAATCTAACGAACAGTAACGAAAATACAGCGCTTCAAAGTCGTCCAAAATGACAACTTTTTAGGAAAATAATCAAAAAGGGGTAATTTTTACCGACTTTGATGCGCTGTATCTTTGTTACTGTTCGTTTGATTTGTACAAAATTTTCAGGGTATACTAATAAAAATACGTTCTTTAACAGCATATTTTTATATACTTAAAAAAATTCCCTAAAAGTTATTTTTCGAACGTTTTTTATTATTAAATAAAAGGGCTTAAAAATATTTTCTCAAAAAACCCTCGAACACGTAAACTGAGATATAATTATGAAATTAACTACTTAAGGAAGTATTTTTATACAAAATTTTATAAGGATTGGTAAAGGCGTTTTAGGGTTGAAATTGTTTTACCTATTATGCGTTAATTTTTAGTTACATTACAAAAAAGGCAAATATACCAAAAGTGGTATTTTTAAACCTTGGTTAAAATTATTTCTGAAACAAAACATTGGTAGCTGAATACCATCAAGAGCTATTAGAAATATCAAATTTTCACTTTGTTTTGGTATCAATTTAACACTTGTAAGGGTTTCTACGCTGAAAAATAAAGTATCCATATCAAAATCGATAAACTACTTTAACATTAATCATAATGTAAGGCACAGGACATTGTGGTTTTACTTGGATGCACTTATTATTAATATATTTAAAATTAAACATTATTATTCTATCAAGAACCATGGAATTACACAAGATCTTATCAGGGAAGTGGATTACAGGAATGTAAATAAAATGGTTAGTCAGAACAATGGCTTAAAAATATTAAATACGATGGGTTACATATTTTTATATATATGCTTTCAATTTTGGATATTTAAAGGCCTACGGGTACAAATATGAACTTTGTGTCTTTAAAATTATTATATAGGGTGATAAAAACACTCTAAACAAAGGATCTAGTGATACAAACTGAGTCAGCGCCTACTGCAAAATCTATTCATGAACAATTAACATATAATATCATAGAACCACTCATAGTAATTCGATATGGCGAACTGGAATGGTATTAGCATATCGCTGCCGAATGACAGTATGGGCGTATACATTTGTCTAATATTTAAATAATTTATTGCCAATTCGACTTCTTAAATTCGAATATTATTAAGAACAGAAGCATGCGAATGTGTATATCGAACAGGTTCTTACGATACTATTCATATTATGGAGATTTCTGAAAACAGGTATAAACGGTTTGTTTACATTGGTCCTATTTACACTCGGGCTGTTTGAAGAGTCGTTCTTGGAATTTTGGCTCGTTTGTTGACTTATAGGAATACTGTTTGTTCTTCTATTAGACGTTAATTAAAAGTTTTTACAGGTTTTGTGTGAAATGCCCGAGACGGGGTCCACTGCAGCAGAAGATCGACCTTTGAGTTTGTCGCGACGAGAATTTCCTTCGCAAGGCACCATGAGCCATCACAGAGAATCGTCGGCCTTCGTGCCGGTGGTACCGTCGAGGAACATGCACCCCATGCTCTATCCCGGCGAAATGCATCCTCTGTTGGGTAAGGTTGTTGCGAGAAAAGTCGGAACACCATCTAAAATCCTCGGTTTACACAGAGAGAAATCCCGAGTCAAAATTTAAATCGTAATTTAAACCTACTTTGACCTACCGAAACTGATTTAAAACCTGTTCAGTCTGTTTACTCCAATTTAGCACCAGAACAACCAAATTAATCTTCATTTGAACCACAGACCACCAAAACAAAACATAAAATTCTATCTCCAATTTGACGCTTAGACGGTGACCGTTTGTTGACCGCAAACAAAGCATTGTTATTGAATGGCAATGCGCCGTCCATTTGTTTTGGTGGTCTGTGATTTAAACCGATTTAAACCTCTAATATCTAAATTTAAACGTAATTAGAACCGAAAAATCGGGAAAATGGACTTATCTGCCATGTTTTAGGTCATAAGTTGGTCATCTTTAGGCGAATATAAAACCGTTTAAGACGGAAATTGTCAGACTTAAGGTTTAAATTACAAACTTAATTTTGACTCGGGATGTATAGTAAATTTTAGATAGTAAAAAAATATAGTAAAATTTACTTTAACAAATTTTTAGGGTAACAATATTATATATTCGTCAATACAATATTAAGATTGTAATACAAAATACTATTTTTTATTAAACAATTTTAGTAAAGATTACAACACCAATATTAATAAATCATAAATGTATAATATATATTTTAATTTTTAATATGTTCGTATAGTAAATTGCATTTACTATCTACAAATAGTAATATTTACTATATGATTTAATGAAATGTAAGGTGTACATCTAATATTATAATATATTACATATTAATAAAAAATATAGTAAAAATAAAGATACTTTTATGTTTAAGGTAAATAAACAATATATTTAAATATAATATACAATATAGTAACTCATGACATTTTAAACATTAAATTTTCTTAGTTTCTTTAATAAACTTTCTCGACCCATTACTGGTAATACTTTTAAGAAAGAATTGAACCTACTTGGTTGCCTAGTATGTACCGATTGCGGCAAAAGCCACGTCGCGACGCGTCGTTAGACGGTGTGGATCACGTGATGTTCTTAAATCTCGCCTCTGTTGGCTTACCAACCATGTTATATAAGCTCAGGTATTTCTTTGTTTTGGGTGTGTTCCACTACTACAAGTTGCTCGACAGTGTCGTGTCGACACTGATGATACCCAATATGGGTCAAAACACCTGTCTGTCGGTATTTGAAGTTGATGGAACGCACTCAAAACAAAAAACTTTGGCGAGGTGTAGGTTCAATTCTTTCTCATAACATTTTTGTATATTAAAAAGTACAATAAATATGTTACAATTTTTAATTGTTAACATATAAAAATATTCGATTTTAAAATATTTTATATTTAAAATGTCAACATAATATTTTAAAATTTACTATACTTATTAGTTATGGAAAAAATCTAATTATAATAAGAATTAAAAACAAAATTGGTTGAGAATAATAATATTTTACCTTAAGGTTTAACATAAATGGATATTTAAAAATTACTAAATATGCATAGTATCTGGCAATATACAAGATAGTTGTCCCAAATAGTAATATAAATTATAGTAAAGGGTATTATAATTATGGTAATCTGCATTATACTTTTCTCTCCGTGTAGGTTCAGAATTGATCAGGGAGAACAGGGAACGTCCCGAAGGTACCAAACCTTCAGGCGATGCTCCACCAGGTAACTTCCCAAATGTGAGAAAATCGTCATCGAGCTTCGACATCATGGCCATGATGGCCGATAAAAGAAAAGAGTTGGCTTTACGCGAGGAAGCAGCATGTGTAGCTGCACATGCAGCTGCGTTAATGCTTCCGCATCGACCAGGACCTCCACCAGGTATGTTTTTTAAAGAATGTCTCTAATTAAAATGTACGAGGTGTGTTCAGAAAATAACGGGAATTTTTAAATTTCGCGGGTTCGGAGGGTCCGAAGTATGATAAAAACTTTAGCTGTTTTCATTGTTTACTTTGTCTGTGGCAGCCGCTAAGGTTAGACGTGTTTTATGAGCTCGGCGATTTTTCGTTCGTTAAAAGAAATGGATCAAAGAATGCATATCCAATTTTGCTTAAAAAATAAAATAAATTTTGTGAAATGTTAACAAAGGACTATAGTGAGTCTGCTATAAGTAAAACAAGAGTTTACAAGTGGTACAAGAGTTTCCAAGATGGCCGTGAAGACGTTGAAGATGACGAACGCCCCGAACGCACAAGCACATTAACAACCGATAAAAACATGGAAAAAGTGGAATAAATGGTTATAAACCATCAGAGAAGTCGCTGATGATGTTGGTATATCGATTGGCTCATCCCATGAAATTTTTTCGAATGTTTTGGGTATGAAAAGCGTGGCAGCAAAATTTGTTCTAAAATTGTTAAATTTTGAACAAAATTTTTGGCCAAAAACAATACTGTAATGATGCCCCAGCCTCCATATTCGCCAGACATGCCTCTGTCTGACTTTTTCCTATTCCCAAAAATAAAGAGAACCTTAAAGGGCCGTCGTTTTGCAAGCATAGATGACATTAAAAGCGCATCGCTGAAAGAACTAAAGGCTATCCCAAAGATCGAGTTTTAGAAGTGTTTCAAGTATTGGGAGAAGAGCTGGCACATGTGCATAATATCCAATGGGGACTATTTTTAAGGCGACAACAACAAATGTAGACGAATAAATAAATATTTGTTTCAAAAAACGAAAATTTCTGATATTTTCTGAACACACCTCGTACACTGAAAGAAAAAAATGGTTAAATCAACAATTTATGCACATTCAATACAAACAATGATACTTGGAGTCATGATTGTTAAAATATAAATGTTGTTTTAAAAATTAAAATTATTAAATTAAAATTTCAGAAATTTATTAACCTTTAAACCTTTTTTGGTCCAACCACTAAAAATATAAAAATAAAATACACGCGTGTAATCCGCGGATTATTAAAATAATATTACCGTAATATTTAATCAAATTATTAAAAATATTAATTTAATGCACAATTGGTAGTAAAATAATAAACATGGGAGCAGTTTTAATCTTTAAAATTATTTGGATTAATAAATTTAAAGGTTAAAAAAATGAATTTTTACTTTAATCAAATAATTAAAATATTGATTTAAAAAATTTTACTTAAAAAATAAGGTTGAATAAATTATCAAATTTATTTAAAAAAACTTTAACAAATATTAGAAAAATACAAATTTATTTGAACACAAAATAAAACCTAAAATTTAAATCATTTTTTTTACTTTTTTTTAAATTTTTGTATCCAAAATTTAATAACAAACAAAAGTTTAATAGAATACGTATATATACGTATTTAAGCAATGTACCTATATATTTTGGCGTTTATACTTAAAAGCTTTTCCTCATCGATATATCTTGTCCTACAATAAAGTTTATTTTATGGTAAAATAATATTACAATGAAATAAACCTACACTCAGAATTTTTTTAATAAATATAAAAAAAGTAAAGATCCCTATTCGTCCAACAAATGCTTTTGTTACGGCAAAAAGATCATTTTTATAAAAATTATTTATCTACAAACGCTGCTTTCAGTAATAACATTTGCATTAATTATAAAGTAAATTTACGTTGTGTTTATAAAAATAACACTCTTCCAGATGCAGAAACGCATTGATAAATATAGTTATTTGTCAAAAAAAAAGTTTTGTAGTATTAATGAAAACATAGAAATTTTTAAAATTTTACAAATCCCTTTTCGTTTAAAATAAAACTTTTTTTATAATATTAATAAAATGTATGCAAATTTAACAACAAATTAATTGTTAATTCAATAAAATATTTTCATTGTAACAATGGTCACATTTTCAACCTACTGTTGGGTATTGGGTAGTTTTTTTAAATAATTGCAAGGCATAAAAACAAATTATTTATTATAACAAAAAAATTAACTCATATTATATGATGTACCTACACTGAAAGAAATATATGTTTGTTTTAGCAATGTATGTGGTAGTCTATATATGAAACATAAAATATATTTACCTTAACCATTTTTATATTTAGTTTTAACATATTATGTTAAAACTAAATATAATATATGTTTGTTTTAGCAATGTATGTGGTAGTCCATATATGAACCACATATATGTATACATTTGCTAAAACAAACATATATTTCTTTCAGTGTACAAAATAAAAAAAATATGGACTCACTTTTTAAACAACAAGTCTGCTTCGTTTATAGAATATACCTTAAATATTTCGTTTAGAAAACGTCGAAATTTTAATTTTTTTAGTGATCTTTTTGATACTTCTTTCATGCAAGATTTTACCACACCTCACTCGCACAAGTGAAATCAATAAGATTATAACAAAGACTGTGGATTTATGTTCACCAAGGAAAAACAACAAAAATTTTGTTAAAAAAAAAGTTTTGTAGTATTAATGAAAACATAGAAATTTTTAAAATTTTACAAATCCCTTTTCGTTTAAAATAAAACTTTTTTTATAATATTAATAAAATTTATGCAAATTTAACAACAAATTAATTGTTAATTCAATACAATATTTTCATTGTAACAATGGTCACATTTTTAACATACTGTTGGGTATTGGGTAGTTTTTTTAAATAATTGCAAGGCATAAAAACAAATTATTTATTATAACAAAAAAATTAACTCATATTATATGATGTACCTACACTGAAAGAAATATATTTTTGTTTTAGCAATGTATGTGGTAGTCTATATATGAAACATAAATAGTATATTACACTACAAGGGCAGAAAGTGTGAGATTCCTGCACTGCGCGCCATGAGAGCATCATGGCGCGCAGTTCAGGACTCTCACACTTTCTGCCCGTGTAGTGTATACTATTTTTCTTACTACCCTGCAGAAAATACGGGAAAAAATTAAATGTATATAAAGAAATTTGTGTCAAAATTAAAATCTGACGTTTAATTTAATTCTGACGTTTACATTCAAAATCAATCAAACTGTAGCGTTGTCATGGTAATTCAGCGGTGCCAATACAGTAAAAATAAAAGGTTGTATTTTAATTAACAAATTACTACTTTATAACAAATAAAAGTACCATTAAACACTTAAAACAACATAAAAAGTAAAAAAGTAAAAACATAAATTGTTTATTTGTTGTTATAATTGCAAAATTATGGTTTAAAACTGTCATATTTTTGTGTTTCTCATGTTGGCAGAACGAAATTTAAATGTTAAGCACGCGTCTAAAAAATTTTTACTCCCGCTATTAGAGTGTGCGCGTATAGCTTGACCAATGCAAGAAACGTAAACTTTCTGCCGTGAAATCGGGGACGAAACAACGTATTTTGAGTCGAGGTAGTAAGAAAATATATTTACCTTAACCATTTTTATATTTAGTTTTAACATATTATGTTAAAACTAAATATAATATATGTTTGTTTTAGCAATGTATGTGGTAGTCCATATATGAACCACATATATGTATACATTTGCTAAAACAAACATATATTTCTTTCAGTGTACAAAATAAAAAAAATATGGACTCACTTTTTAAACAACAAGTCTGCTTCGTTTATAGAATATACCTTAAATATTTCGTTTAGAAAACGTCGAAATTTTAATTTTTTTAGTGATCTTTTTGATACTTCTTTCATGCAAGATTTTACCACACCTCACTCGCACAAGTGAAATCAATAAGATTATAACAAAGACTTTGGATTTATGTTCACCAAGGAAAAACAACAAAAATTTTGTTACCATTGCAAAACAATAGTAAATATTATAAAAGTCTTTTTATAGCAATAACATATTTTTGTTATTGTTCTTAACGTAAGCTATTAATAGTAATTTAAAAAAGACAAATATGTCATAGTAAAATGAACAACTGCGCATTACTTTATGTAAGCGCAATTCACACACAACTATAGATTTAACGAAAGCATTTTAAGTTCGACAAAGATTAAATATAAACATAAAGTATTTCTTATTGCCATGAAAATATGATAACCACTATTACTTTGTTGGATTAACATTTTTTTTATAAAAGCTCAACATTGCTGCTTCATTAAAGTAAATGAGAATTTTATTAACAGTAAAAAAAGTTTATTCTGTAAATAAAAATAATCTCATAACTTTGACAAATCGTAGGTTTTTGTCCCAATATATTATAAGACTGAAAATTTAATAAAAAAGGTACCTTAGGTGGTAAATTTTTTATGGCCATTACAATTTTAAATTTGTTGATATACTGATTTAAATAAAATGGACTATTAAAATAACATTTTTAATTTGACATTCAAAATATTAATTGAAAGTAAAATTTAGGTTTATGTTAACAAAATGTTTATTGTTTTAATATCAAAAGGCATGGCATTTCTAAAACTGTTGATTTAACAAATTGATTTCTCTCAATGTAACAAAAACTTTTTTTCAGAATTTTTAGAAGGTTCCAACGGAAGTCAACACAACTCCTACCCTGGTTTCCTACCCAATGCCCCTGGAGGTGCTGGATTTTCATTCCCTGGTGGTACCACCCTGTTCCCACCAGGTCCCCCCCAAATGCACGCCCACTTGGACAGAAGGCTCCTAAGAGCCCCCGGGAGGGCTTCAAGACCCAAAAAACAGTTTATTTGCAAATTTTGCAACAGACAATTTACCAAGAGTTATAACCTACTTATCCACGAGAGGACCCATACTGATGAAAGGCCCTACTCATGTGACATATGCGGAAAGGCGTTCAGAAGACAGGATCATCTCAGAGACCATAGGTAAGTCAGAAAACCTAATTCATCTACTTTTTCAAAAACCTATGTTTGTGAATCTCACAAAATGTCCCCCGATGGTGTTACCCCGTGATATTTAATAAAACTAAATGAGTTTGACCTACACTTTTATTGTGTTTTGATCTCTCATAATTAAGTAGTTATTACAGCTCAGGTTACAGATTTTTAACCGCAATTAATTATTTTTTACAATGTTTTAAAAGTCTAAAACCTATCCTCCGTGACTGTTACTCTTTCTAGGTTAACCTATATGTTTTGAAATATCTGAGGTAGTAAAAGCATACTAAAAATATCAGTTCACTAAGTAAATTAAACACATCCAAAGCAATCGAATCAAATATAAAATATTATTAAAAATTTAAAGAAATAACTTTTATAACCATTTATGTAGGTGTTACACAAATTGATTCTATCCGCCGTGAATCTGTTTTTGCTTTAAATTTCATGCAACGGATGGCGCTTTAATCATTTTAAATAAGCAAAAACCTCTGTTTACGTCATTGTAGATGCATGTGATTCCTGAAGGCCAGTTAGAATTTATATGCAGATGAGAGTGTTGCTGTTTTATACTTCAAAAGTTTAAGTTCATTAATTTTCTATTTAAAAACCTATCCACCGTGAAGTGTAATATCTTAGTAAGTAGATTTTTTTATAAATATTTTATGTGTGTACAATTGAATTTTTAAAAAATATTAAGGTGTCAAAATATACAATAACTTATTTCAAATATACAAAGGGATGTTTAAAAAAAAACATACGAAATCCTAACCTCCGTGAAGCTCTAATATTCAAAATGTATGATTTCTTAAAATTCTCGCATTAGTGCAGAACCACTTATGTTATGTTATTACTAGACCTGGTGGCTTTCCAAAAACCCCATTCTAGACTAACAGTGAAACAGACAAAAATAAAAAATAATCATTTTTACTTGGGGCACATCTCAATATATTCACCAATGTATATTTATTATCCTGTTGGTGTTAAATTATGAAATTTTTCTCAGTTTTCATAAAATTTGACAATCCAGGGTGGCAAATTTAAAGAGCTACGCTAATTTAAAAATTAGACGCATGTGCCAATGATTTGATATGCCGTGTGTATTTCATAACGCGAACAAATTTGATACGCGCCTTTGACTTATAAGTGTAAAATGTGAAAGTTGAGTCTACTAGGCTGTAAGCTACAGTAGAATATTGTAACTGTAAAATTTTATTTATTATCTTACACACAGCGGTCTCGTTTTATAATTTGCGATAATGAACAATGGGATTTCAGTTTTATTAATTTATTAATAGCGCATTTAATGAACTTTGAACAGTTAGTTTTTACCGCACGACCGAGTTTCATTAAAAACGCAAAACAGACCAAATATTACCAACAAAAACGCGGTATTTTAAAATCGACTTGTTTTGTTAACGAACCGCTATTATCGAAATCCCTTTTGTGACTTGGTTTTTAAAGCAAAATTGATGTTATAACATCAACAAAGGATTTCGGGTTTTGGGACCTGTCAGTGTTGTTTTTCTTATATAAAATCCAACTGGACGGGCAGGTAATAAAAAAGGGGCAAAAACGACGACCCTAACTTTAACCTGTCTAATAATGGACCTGAAAAAGATTTTAATCTTCTTCTATTTGACTTCTGGTCATATGGTACAGGTACCAGCAAAAATCATCCACCGTTTTTGTTTCCTCCTTTGTTGTCTATAATATCAAATTTCATACCATTTTTAAGCTCAGCTCGTTTCGTGCAAATTTTTTTGACATTTGCCTTTCTTAATCTGTTAACCTGATTAGTAAAAGTAGTGGAACAATGCCGCTCCGTTCGCTGACCACACCTTAGCGGTTTAAACTTGATAAACATTCGAATTTTGGTTATAAATTTAGATACATTCTCTAATACTGTGTTAAAATTTCAAGATTACAAAGATCTAACTTTTTAAGATATAAGTAGTAGCGAAAAAATAAGATAAACGTCAAATTGTAAAAATTCGAATATCTCAAAAATTATAAAAGTAGCAATCTTCGTTTTTTGGTTATAATTTAAGATATCTAAGAAGATCATAGTTTTGCAATTTCAATATCTTAACTCTTCTATTTTTTGTGATATTTACGAAAAACAAACTTGGGCGCCATTTTGTTCAAAGTCATGTATCTCAAAAACCACAAAATCTGTTAGGTTGATATTTGGAATTTTATTTAAGATTGCCACGTTTTTTATTGTGTTAAAATTTCAACATCCAGACTTTTTTACTTTTTGAGATATAGCAGCGAAAAATTTAGATAAGCGCCAATTTGTAAAAAATTGATTACCTCAAAAAATTTATCTTCGTTTTTTGGATGTTATTGAAGATATCTAAAAAAATAGTGTTGCAATTTCAATATCTTAACTCTTCTATTTTTTGTGATATTTACAAAAAACAAACTTGGGCGCCATTTTGTTCAAAGTCGTGTATCACAAAAACCACAAAATCTGTTAGGTTGATATTTGGAATTTAATTTAAGATCGCCACGTTTTTTATTGTGTTATAATTTCAACATCCAAACTTTTTTACTTTTTGAGATATATCTATATATAGAAGCGAAAAATTTAGATAAGCGCCAATTTGTAAAAAATTGATTACTTATCTCAAAAATTTTAAAAGATATCTTCGTTTTTTAGATGTTATTAAAGATATCTAAAAAAATAGTGTTACAATTTCAATATTTTAACTCTCTAAAAATTAATTAGTCAAAAATGACTAATTGTCGTAGCGAAAAATCAGCCACTAATAATTCTCGTGAAAAGCAATTTGTATCCCGAACATTTAGCAGTCAATTTCCATGTAAAATTGTCCCCTGAATGCGAAAATGTCGTCAAAAGTTAGAAAAGTAGACTTCTTTTTTATGTTATAGAAGATATCTAAAAAAATAGTGTTGGGTAGTTTTTGTGATATTTACAAAAAACTAACTTGGGCGCCATTTTGTTCAAAGTCGTGTATCTCAAAAATCACAAAATCTGTAATGTTGATATTTGAAATATAATTCAAGATTGCAACGGTTTTGATGGTGTTACAATTTCAACATCCAAACTTTTTTACTTTTTAAGTTATAGCAGCTTAAAGTTTAGTAAGCGCCAATTTGTAAAAAATTGAATATCTCAAAAATTACAAAATAAGATATCTTTGTTTTTTGATAGTATTTAAGGTATCTTAGAAGATTATGGTATCGCAATTTCAATATCCTAACTTTTTTAGTTTTTGTGATATTTACAAAAAACAAATTTGGGCGCCATTTTGTTCAAAGTCGTGTATCTCAAAAACCACAAAATCTGTAAAGTTGATATTTGAAATATAATTTAAGATTGCCACGGATTTGATGGTGTTAAAATTATTATTATTATTATAAAAGAAGATATCTTCGTTTTTTGGATATAATATAAGATATCTCAGAAGATTATAGTTTTGCAATTTCAATATCTCAACTCTTCTAGTTTTTGAGATATTCATGAATTTGTTCAAATGCGTTTATCTTAAAAACTATAGTTTATAGTTATATATAATATACTTACATAAATTTAATATTTAAAATATAATTAAGATACCTACTTGAAAAAGGACAACTTTGGTGAAATGTTAAAAAAATATTAGAAATTTACCCAACACCATAATATAATATAATATAGGTAATATAATATAATATTTGTTTATAATTAAGATATTTAACTAGATTATGCTTTATGAGATATTTATAAAAACAAAGCATTTTGTTCAAAGTCGTATATCTCAAAAACTATAAATTTAACAATGTATTGAAATTCGGAATATAATTAAATATTATGTACTAAAAGTTTTATCTTGAAAACACTTAAAGATATTAACCAATTTCTACTCTAAAAACATTAAGTTTTAAATTATGTTAAAAGCAACCATAAACTTTATTAAATTAAGGCACGAACCGGTTCTTTTTCGAGCTCTTCGTAATAATTACCAAAATATAAAGTCGTTTTTATGGGCATTCGGAATGCAGGGAGTCGAACTTAATATTCTTATAATTAAAAGTTTATACAAATATAATTACAAACTGTACCTAATGAAGCGATATTTTATAATTTAATTGGACCGAAGAATATATTAAGAAGAGGTTTCGGACATTCCAATAAATCGCAAGATAATCCTTGAGGGATTAAAAAAATGCGGATTAAGTTTGGTCGTGACATTTATCCAATAATTCCGAAACGTATGTCTTTGGCTCGATTTAATGCTCTTTGGAATGCCCAGCCATATTTCATTCAACATTTTTTTTATTATTTTGCGAATTTCTATATATATGTTTAATAAAACACTCCTAACCCATCCTGTACGAACAGTCGAGCATTTGGACCATTATATTGAAATCTGGCAACACTGTCCGAGAACAGCAACACTATTAAATCGCCAATGACCACCGTGTTCAAGTTTTTAAATTAGTATTTTCCAAAGTATTTTCTATCAAATAAATTTTGTATGACATGTTCTAACCTTCATCTAAAAATGTTCTTTATAAAAAATAAAAAACTATTTATTTTGCAAAACCCCACATAAATTTTTCGTACCCAACACTTATTTCAATAAATTATAAAAACTAGTTTCTCATCCCAAACCAATAAATAATCATCATAGTAATTTACCAATTTTTCTCCCAGCTCATAAAATAATGTCCATATAATTACGCTTTAATAAATTTCGGCAATTATCTATAATAACCCTGTTTCACTAATTACCTAACTTTTCATTAAGGTTATTAAATACTTTTTTCACTTACATTAATTGCAGTAAAAATATACCACCTGTTTTAAAAAACAGCTGTACGCTACTTATGACTTTGTGTACTTCAGGTGTTCAATTTTTTATTGAAAAAATGGTGGTGTAATTGAAAAGGGCGTGTTTTGAAAAGTATACTTTTCAAAACACGCCCTTTTCAATTGTATACACCCTGAGAATATCAATATATTATGTTGGGTAGGT